TACGATGCTTGGGTCCTGAACCTGAGTTGTTAGCTTTCCAGCTGACAAACTCAATGTCTTTAACTCTATATTCATTTGAACTACCTGGACTCTTGATTTCCTGTGCTTGATACAGGCAATGGCAAACTACTTCCCAAAATATCAATGGACTTGTCCAGGTACTTGCCAGAGTTAAGACATAATTTGAACTCCCCCCTCCAAATCACCTGATAATGATATTACTTAATAATGTGCAAATGTCATTTATGTGCAAGAGTTTTATGCTAAGGAAAGAATATACTGGATATGGCGGAGATACTTATCTTTATGTTCAGAGCACTTAAAACTTAATTTCAGTCAGTTGGCAATTGATTCAAAAACTAACTACTATATATGCAGAAAGTGGTCTGTTAATAAGCAGAAGGCCCAATGAAATTGTAAGACTAAGAGCTAATTAAATCGGAGAACTCTAAGGTTGTGACAGCGATCAAAGGAGATGTGGTTTAGAGGGAAATCTGAATAAAATAGAGTCACAAGGGAAATATTTTTTAAAATGGTATTTGGATTTTTAAGGGAAATGTGTACATTAAGATTACACTAAAGACTACTAGAACCAGTTTGATCTAGTGTTTAAGGCACCAGGTAAGAAAATAGGAGACTGTGAGTTCAAGTCCCACCTTAGCCATGAAAGTTGGCCAGGTGACTTTGGGCCAGTTACTCTCTCACAGCCCAACCAGTGGTGGGATTCAGCTGGTTGATACCACTTCGGCAAAACCGGTAGCTAATTTTGTGTTGCCCAGGCCCAGAATGGACTTTAGGAAGCGGCATCCACACAGAGAACCAGTTGTCCACATATTTGAATCCCACCACTGTCCTTAGATAAATAATATCTCTAGATTTTTTTCTTTACTATACTATATCCAGAACTGAAAATTATCTACCTACACCACTCAGTAATAGCACACACATACTATAATAAGGGAAGGATGGAACTGAGATCCCCATGAGAAGTTATTAAGGACATGACAAAAGATAGAAAGAATAAGATGAGAAAGAAAAGGAGCTAAAGTCTCAATTCATATTTGCTAGCAAGTGGAAAACCAGTGGTTTGGGAAACGTGCTGCAGTATAAGGCAGGCAATAGATCTTTGGAGACTAGATTTTCCAGGGAAAAAAAATCTGTTCTACCAGCTATCCTGCATAAATACAACCTTCACTTGTTGCGTGAAATATAAATGGAGTTAGGATCAGTTTAAAAAGATATAATTTGGCTTTGGGGTTGGAATTCATTAGGAAGTTTCCCAGAAGCTGGGGGACTCAGTTACTGGGGAGGTGCTGGCAAGGCTTTATGATATCACCAATTCCTTCCTCATTGGTTGGAGAGGAAGCACACGTCTGTACAGGAACATAGAAACAAAAGGAGAGAAGGAAAGCAAAAAACAAGAACAAAAAAGCCCAAGGACCAGCACTGCTTCTAGCAGAAACACTAAGATTTCCACACATACGACACAATTTCCTCTGTGACTTTGATTATCTTCCCTTCTAATAATTACTCAAACTCTGCCCTTTAAATCTCTGATCCTTTCCCAGAAGCACCCTCTCCTTGAGCACCCTAAGGCAACTATCCATACAAATGGACTGTGGAGAACAGACTCTCCAACACTCCTTGAAAGGGAACAAAGATTTTAAACAGGGTCAGACCATAAGCTTCATAAGCCCTGGAGCAACTGATGGTGGGGAGGGGAAGTAAAAACAGAAACATACATCAATGATTCTGAATCCATCCCTGGCATCCAGGAGACAAAGATAGAATTGGGAAGCCTCATAAAACAGGCCAGTAGACCCACAACCCTACTCCTAGATAACATGTGAGTGGTCCTCCTAAATGGACTGAATAGAGCACCTTGTGCCTTCTGACAGATGGCGCTATTAGCCTAAGAAAGGTTGGGGTGGGACTTGCTTTGGGATGGCATCTGCCATAGCACCTTCAGAAGGCAGAACAGAAGCATTAGCAACCAACACATGCCATGAAAGTCAATGTAGTATTAGCAATCCAGATGTTGGGCTGGTACTCCAGCTTCAGGAGAGCTTCAGGAGAGACTTTAGTTACTCTTTCAGTCCAACCTGTCTCACACAGGTTATTGTAGGGAAAGAGGATGGAATACTATAGATGTTGCTTTGAGCTAGTAAATGAAAAAGCAGGATGTAATTCTAAGAAATAAATCCCCATGGATCTTAACAGACATTCTGAAAAATGTAAGATGCAGGAATCACATCTGAAGCTAAATTCAGATTTACTTCAGGGATGTTGTATTCATATTACCTTGCCATCATATAATCAAAAGTTAGTTCTGCTATGATGGTTGTTCAACTGTGGTTGAAAAATTGCTGCTGTGGGATATAGAGGACATAGTCTGGATGTCATTCTTTCAGGATGCCGCATGATCCAGAGAAGATAGCAAGGCTATTGTCACAGAAATGGATGACCCATTTGAGATTAGAAGTTAGTTCCCCCCCCCCTTGATATCAAGATTGGACTTAAAGTTGTACTTCCATGTTTTGTAGTTTCCTCCCATGTCTTCCCCTTTCTTCATCAGATTATAGATAGAAGAATCTCCTCTTGGTAGAGACAAGCTATACTTGTAAAGGACTGAGGGGAATAGATGAAGATACTTCTGAAGAACTGAAGATTCCAGCCAATGTCTTTATCATCCAGGTCTCACATGCTCACTTTGACACCAGTTGATGTTACTTTATTAATCAATCAATCAATCAATCAATCAATCAGAATAGAGCTGGAGGTCTTCTAGTCCAGCCCCCTGATCAAGTAGGAGACCCTATACCATTTCAGACAAGTGACTGTTCAGTCTCTTCTTACAAACCTCCAGTGATGGAGCACCCACAACTTCTGAAGGCAAGCTGTTCCACTGGTTAATTGTCCTCACTGTTAGGAAGTTTCTCCTTAATTCCAGGTTGCTTCTCTCCTTGATTAGTTTCCATCATTTCTTGACCTGCCCTCTGGTGCTTTGGAAAATAAATTGGTCCCCCCCCTCTTTGTGGCAGCTTTTCAAATACTGGAATACTGTTATCATGTCCCCCCTAGTCCTTCTTTTCTCTAGACTAGCCAAACCCAAATCCTGCAATTGTTCTTCATATATTTTAGTCTCCAGGCCTGTTTAATCATTTTAATTGCTCTTCTTTGCACTTTTCCCAAAGTCTCAACATTTTTTTTGTAATGTACTGACCAAAACTGGATGCAGTATTCCAGATGTGGACTTACTAAAGATTTACTTTACCAAGGCTTACTAATATTTCACATGATTTTGATTCCTGGAAAGATAGGTAGAGGTTTTCATTGTCTCAAGAGGAAGGGCTAGGGACGTATGTCTGCACGGCTACTTTTTCCTTCTATTCTCTTATGGATGAACACTTCTTCTAGGCTCCATTGTTTTCTTTTGTTCAGTGTTGCATGAATGTGTGTTGGAAGGCCATTCTTTGGATAAATTTGCCTTATTCCCAAGTTCCTTGATTGGGATTTGGCCTCAAGAGAACCATCTCTTTGGATGAAGACTCTCCTCTCATTTATCTCTTGACATTAGCTTTGTGATTCAACAGCCTCAAGGTATAAAGATATGCTATAGTGTTTAATGCTCATATTGAGTGGAAGCTTGTATTTCCATCTGTCTGTCTGTCTGTCTGTCTGTCTGTCTATCTGTCTGTCTGTCTGTCTGTCTATCTATCTATCTATCTCTATTTTCAAATATATAAAGAAAGTTGGTCCACCATATCTGGATCTCAAAAACTCTGGACAAAATTTGTAGCAAAGAGATCAATTTTGAGAAGAGCAAAGGCTTTAAATAAATATAGCAAAAGGGTATTGCAATGTGTATCCATATATTTAAGTTTGTGTTTATGCATGACTCTGTGAGAGAGAGGGAAAGAGACAAGGTACCATCCCATGGGTTTCCATATTAACATTTTTTTTTTCCACAAATCCTTGCCTCAGATATTTCTTTGTCTCTGGCTTCAAGAGCATCCCCTAGTGTCGTCTTGCAAAAGATCATCAAGAAATATTTTTCTCATATTATCAAGCAAAAATAGGAATAGTGATTGTGTGAAAAACCTATAATTTTGTATTCGTTAAACAATGTCTTTTTTTCTTCCTTTCCAATTTGCACTTTTCAGTCTGGTTTACTGACCTTAACCAAAACTCTCTAGATTAGGGATTCCCAAACAGTTTCATTGTACAGTAATGCTTTCATTATTCATTGAGTTTGGTGTTTGGATTTTTAAGGGAGGTGTGTACATTAAGATTACACTACAGGAAAGTGTGAAAACAAAGTGTTTTTAGAACCCCTATTCTAGATGAATAATATCTCTAGATTTTTGTCTTTACCATACTATACCTGGAACCAAAAATAATCTAACAACACGACTCAGTGAAAGCACAGATATGTAACTTCATTTGCCAACAAGAAGACTTCTCCCAAACATAAGATGCCTAAATTCTAGAATTTCTCCAAAATGTTACTAAGTAGACAACAAATTTTTAGTCCTCCAGTTGGGTTTGAAGATTACATGAAGCATAGTTGGTGACCATTATAATTTAAAGACGTTAGATCTAATTTAAGAACACGCTCCGTTATCAGATTGCCTGCACCCTATGATCTAATGAGAGGAACGTCTCTCATATTTTCATACCTTATACGGATGTTAAATAATTGAAACTGTTCTTGGACTTTCGCTCCAAGAACAAACTGTTGAAAGATGGATAGCGAGAAAAACACGACGCTACATCTTTAAGCAGCCGCGTCCATCCCGCTGAGGCCCACAGAAGAGTCTCTCTCGAAGGCGGGGGAGAAGACGGTACCATCTCCTGAGAGGCCACTGGTTATGTCACCCGCTTGTGGCTCCTCCCTCTCCCCTCAGGGGGGAGGGAAGCAGTGAACGAAGAGGTGCTCGAGAAGGGAAGCCAGAGCTTTCGCGCCTGCGCAGCATTATTTTCGTGTCTTCTGTGCAATTTATCGTTCTCTCGCCCTCCCCTTTTCTTCTTCCAAGCCCGTTAGGGCCGTGGCGGTGAGTCCCGGTGGAGGATTTACAAGTGTCTCTGCGACGGGACGTAGAGGAGCTGCGAAGCCACGGAGCTGACTGGGGAAGCCTTGGCCCGGCCATGGGGTCCTGAGGGCCTTTCTCCCTGCCCGTTCCCTTGAGCCCCGGAGGGTCGGGTCCCTGGCAGAGAAGGGGAGCGGTGGCTGGTGTTTGCAGTGCCTCGTGGCGGTGAGGGCACAGTGGGAAGGTGGATGGATGGGGAGGAGGGCTCCGTGCTGAGATGATGAACATAGCGGCAAAGCCTGAGAGCGGTGACCTGACTCCCCAGGTGGGGTGGGGAGTTTGTTGCCTGGCACTTGGCGTGGTGTTGACGAGCGTCTGGCCGCGATGATGCTTAAGAGTGAGTGAGAAAGATGTGAAAAGGTGAACGGCAGCAAACTCCTGCTCGGGATTGATGGCGCAGGAGGATGGGTGGTCCTGGGATACACGTTGGTGTTGCCCACTTGGGTGGAGCGGCAGTAGAAATAGCCGTGGGTGGTGAGCAGCTCAGCCTAGGTCTAAGGGGAGCAACGTGGCACCATTGAAAATTATAAATACAAAATTCAGCGGCTTGGTCTGGACTCTGGTTGTGATAATAAAGTATGACTTCTGTAGGAAGCCTTTTATCTATATAAATTGACAGCCCAGTTTATTTTCAGAGTAATCAAAGCAATTTAAATATTTATAGTATAGAATGATAACCCCATGATTTTTCAGTGGTGCAGCATGGTTCTTAAGTACATAGTGTGGGGTTAAATATGGGTACTGTGTGCAGTGAAACAAAACTAAATTCTGATATCAATGGTTGTAGGAGAAATGGCACATTTAGTGCCACATTACTCAATGGCTTGTGGGGATTACCTGACTAATTATGTACACTTCACATAGGACATACTTTGTTCTTTCCATCTGAGAACTTGCATGCAAATACCAGTATTTGAAGGGTCATTATTTTTTTAAAAAATGAAGAATATTTATATAACTTAAGCATGCTAATTTAGTTGAATCTCCTACCTTTCTCATCTTCTACAGTTTCAGTGCTGTTATTTCCTGTTGCTTGACAATGGGAATCGTGACATACTTTGAATTTACAACCCCATATTTCAAAATACAGAAATGCCTGCTAATACCCTTAATAAATAGTATGTAAAGTATTGTGTATACAGTGTATTTCATAACTCAGCGGCATATCTTCAGTTTTTTTCTAATTTTCATTATCAGCTAAATGTAAGTCAGTCTTCTGAAAAGAGTAAATAGATACTACTGTATATTACTGTATATAGTGATCAATTACTTTTTATATCTTAGAAATAACTCTAATGGTCAACAGCAGCAATTCTTTAAAATTGCTGCCAATGGTATCATAGGATGCCCAGGAGAAAGAGAACAATAATGAACTATTGAAGGAAGATAGGATTTAAGTCTGCATTAACTTATTTTTAAAATTATTTATGCTTTCCTATTTTGTTCTTCCATAGAATTACACTCAGATTTCTATCAAGACATTTAATCCTGTTTAACCCCATGGGAGTCTTTTTAAAAACTAATCTGTAACACAATGATTAAAAAAAACAAAGCAACTTTTAAGATAGGATCGATCTTGAAAATAACAGTTTTCAATACATGGCAGATTTTTTTATGAAAGAATAGCACTTTGCATTTATATTATCAACTTATCAAAGCTGTATTGTATGTTTTAATTAGAATATTAGTGTCTGATGTAATGTGACTCAAGTTTTTCTGACTTGGAGTTTCATTTTTTTAAAAAGACAAACAATAGCAAAAGTATTCACTGCAGGTTAGTTTTGTTTGTCAGTGCAAATGCTGAATGAGAAGGCAACGGATTAGCTTGTATCCAGGGAGTAAGAACATGACAACTTGAACATGTAATGCAGCATGGTGATCATTTTAATCACCCCTGTGGGATGCAATTTACTGGAAACAAATAGGGGAGGGGTGAATTAAAAACCAAATTCTATCTGCTGTATAATATTTTCTTAAAATATGTATATTAACTATTGTTGCTCATATTATACAGTAACATTTAGCTTTGGTCATGTATTGCAGATTAAGAGCATTTATGATGGAAACTATTATATATGAAACTATGTTATGGAAATAAAAGAAGTTGTACAAGTAGTCCTCCACTTACAATCACAGTTGGGACCTGAACATCAGTCACTAAACGATGCAGTTGTCAAACAAGACATCGTGTGATTGGACCTGAATTTATGACCATTTTACTGTAGCAAATCTGGCTTCCTCAGTTGACTTGTTGTTGGAAGCCAACTGGGAAGGTTGTAAATTGTGATCACATGACCACAAGATGCTGCAACTGAGGTAAATATTAGCTGGTAGTATGACAGTCATACAAGTGCACATCAACTACTGGTTGTAACTTTTTCTGAAGCCATCATAACTTCAAACCATTGTTAAATGAACAGTCATAAGTTGAGACTACCTGAAATGCTATAAGGCATGTTTCCAGCTATTTTGTTCTGCAGCAGTTCATATATTCAGTTTCTTGCATGGAAGGCTCACTTTCTATATAAAGATTTTTAATTAAGTACTGTATATATTGAAAATTTAAAGTTTATAATATTATTTCTCAATGTATATTTGTTCACATACACACCTGTCTAACTTTCTTTTATTTGGAGTAGCTCCTTCTATCCATATTAGTTTGTTTGGGTTTTTTTGTCTAACATTCTTGCACTGTTTCATATGCAAGCAATCAAGTTATTTTATATCTTCTATGTTAAGTCAGTTATGCAGATCAACAGTGAAAGCCTTTTACGGTGAAATTCTTTTTCAAGATAGTTTTTCTCCTCTATTAACTTATATTTTTCTTTAATGCATGTGTGTGTGTGGGTTTGTAAAATGTATGTATGTAATATAGTCAGGACATTCTCTTTTTTGGAAAGAGACAGGAAATAAGTCAAAAGGGAGTAGTCTAGTTACTTTTCCTTTGAATATATCGGGACGAAGGCTACTGTAGGGTGTGTCTATTTCCTAGCATCATTATGACAATCTATATTCAGAATATTAAGAAGAAATGAAACAAGAAACTGATCCCGCAAGTAGAGATTCATTTTCATAAACTGATAAATGGGCATAGTTTCCCCCCTAATCCTTCAAAATAATATCCAGTTATTTTTGAGGTGCGTCAAGTAAATGGATTTGCATCTGAGGTTATTTTGAATAATTAAATTTCTAGTTTTAGTTATACAGATTATTTATCAACAATAAAGCATGTTGTAGTAATTAGTTTGTGGGAAATAAATTACAAGCTTAAAACATTTGTTATTACGTATTTAGTTATAGACACGCAAGAATTCAAAAATAGACGTTTTAAACCTCCTACCTGTCCAGATGGAGAAGAAAAGTCAATTCTATCTGCTATTCAGTACTACTACATAGATCAGCGGTTCTCAACCTATGGGTCGCGACCCCATTTGGGGTCAAACAACCATTTTACGGGGGTCGCCAAACAACACGATCCACCATTTTTCCCCCTCAGGGGGCGCCGCCCGGGGGTCACCGTATAAAAAGGTTGAGAACCGCTGGTGTTATGTCCCGAGCCTTGCAAACGGCTCGGGCGTTTGCAGGCAGTCCCGGGCAGGTGCAAAGCTGCCCGGGACCAGACAGGCTGTCGCCAGCGCCGTGCGCATGCGCGGGTGCTGGCGCGGGAAAAGTAACCCATTTACCCGGGAGTTGCCTATATAAGAGGCTGCGAGGCGTTTGGGCGAGGCTGAAGCCATCTTCCTGTAAGCTGAACGCTGAATAAATGAAACTGAGAACTCCAGCTGCTTCTCGTGTCTGTTTTCCCGCCACGGACTCAACACTGGCGACGAAGGTGGGATGCCTTGCACTACCTGGAAAGGAAGAAGTGTAAGCTTACCCAAGGAGTCCTGAGCGGCGAAAGAGGAACGGCGTTGACTCGGCAGCTGCCCGCCAGTCCGGTGCGCATTCGGGGGTAGGCTGGCTGATAGACCCGTCTCCTGAAGATCCGAAGATGGCGAAAATCGGAAGGCTTTCGGAATTCGACATCTCACATCCAGAGCGGTGGGAGTCCTATGTATCCAGAATGGAGAACTACTTCAAGGCAAACCAAGTGAGGGAAGATAGCTTGAAGGCGGCCACCCTGCTTTGCGTTTGCGGCCAAGACGCCTTCGAAATCGCAGAAAACCTTGCAGCACCTGTCCCAGTAGAGTCTGTAAGCTACGCAGACCTGAAGAAGCTGCTGAAGGAGCATTTCCATCCCAAGGTGTCCGTTATCTCATGGCGCCACACCTTCGAACAAAGGGATCAACGGTCCGGTGAGTCAGCCAAGGAATACATCGCCGCGTTACGGAAGGCCGCCAAGCCCTGCGAGTTCAAGGACCTCGAGGAACGACTGAGGGACCGATTCGTGTGCGGGTTAAGGCATCGCGAGCTACAACAGAGACTTTTCGCAAAGGAAGAATTATCCTTCCAAGACGCCTTAAGGGAAGTCACCGCAGAAGAAGCAGCAGGCGGCGCCGTCAAAAACATGCGGCCGATCAGAAACAGTGCAGAGGGTGCGTCCGTGCACCAGGAAGACGTCCGACGAAACTCCGAGGAGGATCCGGACGAGGAAGTCGACCGTCTACACCCCGCGAAGGAAGAGAACCAGAAGGGAAGCTCTTCGGCTCCGCTCAAGTGCATCGGCTGTGGAGGTCGCCACAGGAGAACCGACTGCAAGTTCCGCTCCGCTACCTGCCGGGCATGCGGTAAACAAGGGCACATTGCAGCTGTGTGCCTGGGCCGACGAAAGGCACAACCCCAAGAAGAACGCCTGAAGGGTACCAGATTCCCCAGCCAGAATAGGGTAGGTTTTTGCGCTTCGCGAAGAAGCATCTGTAGAACAGGCACACACAAGCCCATGAAGAAAAAGCTGTCACTCAACGTGAAGCTACAAGGGGTTCCATTATCTATGGAACTAGACACAGGGTCTGCCCTGTCCATCATTTCATTGCATACATTTAGGAAGATTTGTTCCAGAAGTGGGTCTAAGGCCAAGTTAAGGCCTTCTGATATTGTATTAACAGATTTTCAGAACTCAAGAGTGTGTGTTAAGGGGGAGGCCACCCTTAACGTGCAATACAAGAGTTTTGAAGGTCCACTAGACTTATTAGTAGTAGGGGGTGAACGAACGAGTCTCATAGGACTCGATTGGTTTGAGGCCCTGGGGATACACGTCACAGGACTCAATAGCTTACAAACACTCGACCTACAGGAAGTCTGCACAGAATTTGCAGATGTTTTCAGCCCCCAGCTGGGCACATTCAAAGGACCACCTGTGTCCTTAAAGCTAGACCCCACTGTCACTCCCATTAGGATTAAAGCAAGAAGGGTCCCTTTTGCTTTAAAAAGTAAGATTGACACTGAACTAGACAAACTAATCCAACAGGGAATCCTAGAACCTGTTGATTCCAGCCCGTGGGAGACCCCCATTGTCACGCCTCTAAAGGCAAATGGGGACATTCGCATTTGTGCTGATTACAAATGCACACTCAATAAGGCATTGCAGCAACATGCCTATCCTGTTCCTGTGGTCAGTCACATCCTGGCCTCTCTCAAGGGGGGGCGTGTTTTTGCAAAGCTTGACCTAGCTCAAGCATATCAACAGCTGCCTGTTGATGATGATGCTGCCATAGCTCAGACCATTGTGACCCACAGGGGAGCCTTTAAAGTAAAAAGGCTACAGTTTGGAGTGAATGTCGCTCCTGGGATTTTCCAAAGCGTTATGGAAAACACACTACGAGGTATACCAGGGGTCTGCCCCTACTTTGACGATGTCTTGATTGCAGGAGACTCCACACACATTCTAGCTGAAAGGCTTAGGGCTGTCCTGTTAAGATTCAGGAAATCAGGCCTCAAGCTCAGAAAAGACAAATGCCAGATTGGGGTGCCTTCTACTGAATTTCTGGGATTCAAAATTGATGCTGCTGGGATTCATCCTGCTGAATCCAAACTAACTGCTATTTTAGATGCACCCAGGCCAAAGTCTAAGGCCGAACTTCAGGCCTTTCTAGGCCTCCTGAATTTCTACAATTCTTTTCTTCCACATAAAGCTAGTGTAGCTGAGCCTCTTCACAGGCTACTAGACAAACAGGCTGTGTGGCTGTGGTCACAAGCGCATGAGGCTTGCTTTAAAGAAGTCAAGGCCTTGCTCACTTCTAACAGTGTTCTTGCACATTTCAACGAGTCTCTCCCTGTGTGCATCGCTTGTGATGCGTCCCCCTACGGGGTTGGAGCTGTCCTGAGTCACCTCAGGTCTGATGGAACTCAGGTTCCTATTGCATACTACTCCAGAACACTGTCTTCTGCCGAGCGCAACTACGCTCAGATAGACAGGGAGGCTCTGGCTGTTGTTGCTGGAATTAAAAAATTCCACGATTTTCTATATGGCAGGCATTTCACGGTCTTCACTGACCATAAGCCTCTGCTGGGACTGTTTACCACACGTAAGCAGACTCCCCACATCATTTCCCCTAGAATGCTTAGGTGGTCTATTTTCTTGTCTGCATATGATTTTTCATTACTCCACAAGCCTGGGAAAGAAATGGGCCATGCTGATGGCCTCAGTAGGTTGCCTCTGCCAGTAGTAGAAGCTGACCCCGCGCCAGCTGTCAACATTCTATCAATCCAAGCCTTGCCCGAGCTCCCTCTTAGTGCCAGGGATGTTACCGCTGAAACAGGTACAGATCACACACTTTCACGTGTCCGCTCCTGGGTCCTGTCCGGGTGGCCTGAGCACTGCCCTAGTCCTGAGTTTCAGAGTTTCTGGTCCAAAAGAAACGAACTGTCCCTTTCTCAGGGTTGTCTGCTTTGGGGAAACAGAGTTGTCATTCCCACCTCAATGAGGACTAGGGTCTTAGAATCCCTCCACGAGGGTCATCCTGGCATTGTTCGTATGAAGGCTCTTGCACGCAGCCACTTGTGGTGGCCTGCTTTAGATAAAGATATTGAGGCTAAGGTACACGCATGCCACCTGTGCCAACGATCTCGCCCAGAGATGCCCCAAGCTCCTGTGCATAGATGGGAGGAAACACAGTCCCCATGGTCTAGGGTGCACATTGACTACGCTGGGCCCTTTCAGGGCCAGTTCTTCTTGGTCCTTGTTGACAGCCATTCAAAATGGCTTGAGGTTGTGCCTGTCTCATCCACCACCACTGCAAAGACTATTCAGGTACTGAGGGGGATTTTTGCTGCACACGGGCTGCCAGATGTCATTGTGTCCGACAACGGCCCTCAATTCACCTCCTCCGAATTCCAAGCTTTCTTACAGGCAAACCTGATTCGTCATGCCACGTCTGCGCCTTTTCACCCGTCCACCAACGGTATGGCTGAACGCATGGTGCGCATCGCAAAGGACGCCTTGAAGAGACTCACCTACGGGGACTGGCATCACAGGTTGGCTGACTTTCTCCTTTCTTATCGCACCACACCGTCCACTTCTACAGGGAGAAGTCCAGCTGAACTTCGTTGGGGGCGCCAACTTACTACTAGACTTGACCGGTTGCATCCGGACAGACTGCCTTCATCTACCTCACATCCTAGGGCACCTAGACAACTACTTGTGGGTGCCCCGGTTTGGGCTCGCAATTACGGGCCTGGTCATACATGGGTCCCCGCTTCTGTGTCCAGGATCACAGGTCCTCTCTCCTACGAGGTTGCCCTGGACAACGGTCGTGTCCTGCGTCGGCACATCGACCAACTTCACTCTAGGCGAGACTTTTCTGCTGAGACTCCTGGGTCTTTTCCAGGGGGGGAGGGGGACCCTTTGGAGCAAAGGGAAGGGCAAGAGCTACTGCCCATCTCCACTGAGGGAGCCACAAACGGCTCGTCCCAAGGTTCTGCAATTGCTCCGAAAAGAAAGTCATGGAGCTTACCCACACAACAGGCACTCACGCCTACTCCAGCCAGGGAGTCACCCCGGGGGCATACTCACTTTCCACACACATCACACAGCACTCCAGCAACGGAGGATACCCGGGGGCATCCCAACAAATCATTCCCCGCAAGAGAGCTGGCACACAATTCCCAAGGTTGGCCTGACCTTACCCCAAATCCTACAGGGGGTCAAACATACACAGAGCTAGTCGAGGAACCAAGTCCCGACTACAACAACCCTAGCACAAATCAGGGAACACCTGAGTTTTGGGAAAGTACAGAAACCCACACGAGCCCGAACACAGAATGGGGTTCAGGGAATGGACAGCCTCCTGACAGGTCTTGGACTGACCTAGGAGGTTCTACAGAGACGCCCAGCAGCGGCTATCACTTCAAGGGGCCTGAGGGTCTACAGCTAGGTAGGTCAACCAGGTCACAAAGTAACAGAAGCCCTGGCCTGACGAGCCCGGTGGGCAAGCAAGCAGGCCAGGCATCGGGGCACAGTCCTTGGAAGACACCAGGGCACAATAGAGAGAACAGGCTCACGCCTCCCTCCAGTCAGGGGACTTATGCCAGTAACCCAGAGCTAAGAAGGTCACAGAGAGCAAAGAAATCTCCTAAGTATCTAGAAGATTACATAACATTGCTGGCAAGGCAAAAGCCAGTAATCAGTGGGAGCACTGGGGAGCAAAATGTCATATAAAATAAATGTTGTATGTTGGTAGTAGTTTTAGCCCGGGGGAAAGGGGTGTTATGTCCCGAGCCTTTGCAAACGGCTCGGGCGTTTGCAGGCAGTCCCGGGCAGGTGCAAAGCTGCCCGGGACCAGACAGGCTGTCGCCAGCGCCGTGCGCATGCGCGGGTGCTGGCGCGGGAAAAGTAACCCATTTACCCGGGAGTTGCCTATATAAGAGGCTGCGAGGCGTTTGGGCGAGGCTGAAGCCATCTTCCTGTAAGCTGAACGCTGAATAAATGAAACTGAGAACTCCAGCTGCTTCTCGTGTCTGTTTTCCCGCCACGGACTCAACAGCTGACATAGATAGATACTCCATTCACTCAAAAACAACTACTACATCTATATCAATCCAATGTCTATACAGGTAGTCCTCCACTTACAACCGTTCTTTAGTGACTGAAGTTAACAGTGGCACTGAAAAAAGTGACTTATGGCTGTTTTTCACACAACTGGTCACGTGATCAAAATGTGGAAGCTTGGCAACTGTTTCATATTTATATGGATGCCGTGTCCCAGGGTCATGTGATCCCATTTGGCAACTTTCCTGAAAACCAAAGTCAATGGGGAAACCAGATTCACTTAACCATGTTACTAATTTGACAACTGCAGTGATTCACTCAACAACTGGACAAGGAAGGTCACAAAAAATGGGGCAAAATAATGTCTCGCTTAGAAACATAAATTTTGGGCTCAGTTGTAGCCGTAAGTTGAGGACTACCTGTAATGCTTATTTGAACCAGGTAACAAAGGAAAAATACTCCTGTTTTGCTAATTTCTGTTATTAAACACTGAAGGCTAAAAAAAAAAAGTAATTGCACTATTCCATTCAGGTTTATCTATCTTTGACATACTCAGGATCAGTGAAGAAGCACAGATACAACTTTGGGACAAAGTGCAGAACATTGTTTAGGAAAATAAGTAGGAAGATTCCCAAGACTGTTTTTTTGCTTTTAGGTGAAAGTAAAATATACTTTGCAAAGAAGACACCCTCCAATATATGGTTCTAAAATAATTAACATTATTCATACATTTGCCTTTTATTGACTGATTTACCTGTAATCGTGTGATCAAAATTTCAGCACCTGGCAACTGATATGCATTTGCAATCGTTGCAGGATCCCAAGGTCACATTATTACCCTTTGCAGACTTCCCAGGGGGCTGCCCACAAGCAAACTCAGTGGAGGAAGTCAGATTTGCTTAACTGCTGTTTGATATGACTATGGCAAAAAAAAGTTGTAAAATGGAGCGAGTTTCACTTAATGATTGCATCACTTAGTTATGAAGTTCTGGTCCCAGTTATGATCATAAGGAGACAGGTAGTCCCTGACACCATTTGTTTAATGAGGGTTTAAAGATATGACAGTGATGGAAAAAAGTTGTTTTCAAGCACTGCTCACACTGTTGCAGCATCCCTGCAGTCATGGGATTCAGGCATTTGGCACACAGCATGTGTTTACATGCTTGGAGCATCCTGGGGTGAAATCATTGTCATTTGTGATCTTCCCAACTTAGCTTCAGACACACAAGTAAATGGGAGAAGCAGGATTCTCTTAATGATTTGTTTAATGTCTATGAAAAAAAGGTTGTAAAATTGGGTATGGTTCACTTAACAACCACATAACTTAGTGACAGGAGTTCCATGCCCAGTTATGATTGTAAGTATTGTAGAGTATAATTTCAGGTTTTTAAAACTAAATGGTATTGCTGGATTTTGATGACATTATTTTGTCCAGAATAAACGTCAACAGGCTAATGTTGTCAAAGAAAATACAATAACTACCTGAAGGATATTTTAATAGCATGTTTGCTGATTACATACATACTTGTTTTGAAAGGCTGACCTCTAGCGAGGTCTGTCAAGTATCAGAACTTTATATCTTCTTTTTAAAATGAACTGACTACGTTAGATTACTATGTACTGTAGTTGTAAAAACATCCAGTTTTTCTTTAGTATCACATCATAATCTCATTTATATGTTCTGTTTTGAATTGCTGCTGTTTGTTTTTTGGAGCAAAGGTTGTATCAATTTCAGAAATGGATTTATGTATTTATTTATTTAATTATTTACTGTGCTTATAAGCCACATAAATTGAAGCCAGTTCTGAGCAGTTCACATCTCAATATTTTATAAAAACAAACAATGCAAATTACATTTCTACAGATTAGTTTCTTCTGTCCTTCTGTGTTTTTTTAACTCAAGGATAACCATGCTGTGTGTATCATAAATACATAAATAAGTTGTATCAACTATTTCCTCTGTATGTTTAGCATGGATGGCAATTTTTTTCCAAAATTCATGTAGTTTTGTCCTAGCATTTTTGGATTATGTCTACATTATTTCAAGTCATTCTGCTGATTTTTTCCTCCTCTTTTAATTTTCCTATAGGTTTGAACAACAAAAAATAATGATGATTGTAGTAACTGGAGCCATGTCAGTGCCTGAGTCAGATTTCCCAGCCAGCACCCCTGCTACAGCCCCTAATTTATCCAGGATGCCTGATGATGGCAGCCTCACTGCAGTGGAGCAGCCAATATTTCTAATGACAACTGCTGCCCAGGCCATCTCAGGTTTCTTTGTGTGGATAGCTGTGCTGATCACCTGCCACCAGGTAAAACAAACAATTTAACATTTTGAATTGCTCTCCATCAACTTTATTATCTAGTAGAGAAGAAGCTTGTTTTCCTAAATGTTATTATTCCATTAACATATCCCAGTCTCTTTTTAACTATAAGCACTGCTGTTTTGCATGATGTAATGACCTGCAGCATATACGGGCGCAATTCAGAAATAAACCTCCATTTGGTTATCAATGACAGACAGAACTTTTATTATACACATTAGAAAACTACAACATTACATTATTTTTCGACATAATCGCCATTCAGATTGAGGCACTTGCCATAAAATCTTACAAGGTTTGAAATTTCTTAGTAGTAATCGCTCAGTGCCAAATCTGTGCTATAGTGATCAAAAACATCCCAACGGAACTGCTTCAAAAGTTCTTGGGTGCGTCTAACGGTGTGCGGGTGAGCATTATCATGAACCAACACCATCCCGGAAGTCAGCATGCCCTGATGCTCGTTATGGATGATTCGTCTGAGTTTTCATAATGTTTCACAGTAGACTTCTGAATTGATGGTCGAACCATACTCCATGAACTTCACTAGCAGTACTCCTTTGGCATCTTCACATTTGGCAGGATTTTCTATGGCACCACTTCCGGTGTGGATTTAGGGCAGGCATGGCTACCTAGGGATTAGCACAGTTCTGTGTTAGCGAATTATTACATTGGGCTGAGGGGATTTTTAAAAGACCATGTCCACCGTTGGATAACAGCTTCCATTTTAGCAAGCAAGTAGGTGAAACTGATAGATCAGCCTTTTAAGCAGGATTTTACTGCATAGTGACTGGTTCTATTCTACTCACAGATATCTTGTCAGAACAAAGGGCTACAAAGCATGCTGTTTCTCTTTCCTCCTTTCCTCCATTGTGGTTTTGTTTTGCATTCTTTCCCAAGCTGTTCTATGTGCATTTTAAAGCAAAGAAATTGCTTCATAAATATGTTTTATATGATTTGGATTCTGAATTATATTTTGGTTGAATAATTTTCCTGACAGTATGGAAGGGTTACTGCTTTTATGTTGTTCCAAATCCTCTGCATTTTTAAGAAAAAGTAGGTCACTGTAATTCAGAGTGATATAACTTGACTTTGAACACTGATAGACTCATGGCAATAATTGTAGGACAATTTTTTTTAAAATAATTTTCTCTGTTAATGGAAGTATGATTTTTTAAAGAAGAATTTGAATGTTTTAAAATGAAAATGGTTTATATTTTGATTTTATATCTAGGAGGGTTTTTTTCAGATTTTTCAGAATCTTTGATTTTTAATTCAGATTTTGTGAGTATTCTATTGATTGAATGCATACTTTGAGATTGAATGCATACTTTGAATGCATAATACTTTATTTTATAGTAACCATTAAATTTATAGTTTAAAGGTGGGGAAACTGCAAATCTGGCATGCATTGAGTCTCTAAATTCTTTTAAACTGGTCTTGTTTCCAGTATTATTTCCCTTAACATACAGGTATGATAATTCTTTAATTCCTTATTTTGGGAGAAACCAAAAAAAGTATTTAAAAAGAGCACGGGACTTTTTCCCCCTCTAATTACAATACAAATTGATAATTTCTTAAAAACAAGGTTACTGAAAATTTCAGTACAATATAAATCAGTGGTGTATAAGATAAATAAGGCTTAAAATTTTCCAGATATGCAAATGGGAATTGAAATTGCTAGGAAGCTATGTATATTTTTTTTCAACTTGCTTTTTAACTGATTATGCCTACTTCTTTACAAAAATCGAATCTAGACAGTAATTTATAGGGAAAAGTAGAGGAATATGAAATTTACAGAAAATCAAATGTCACTTTTAGCTTTTAAAATGATGAGGCAAATAGTCATTTCAGGCTGGAGACATTTAGATAAGGTAAGGTAGGATAGGATAAGATAACCTTTATTGTCACTTTTTTCTTCAAACACACTGGCACACACACGTGTGTGTGTGTGAATGTGTATCCATACACATATGTATATACATATTCTCTAGTCTCTCTGTCTGTCTCTCTCTCTGTCTGACTCTGTCTATCTGTCTGTATCTCTGTATGTCTGTCTCTCTCTCTCTCACACACACACACACACCCTTGATTCTATTTCAGAATTCTTCATTATTTCTGTATATAAGGAATGCACTTTGCTGATGATAATATATTTGGCTAATTTAAGAATATTATACATTTAATTATATAGGGATAGGTGGGAGGATGAGATGATGATAAAAAGCTGTGATTCATAATGTTTAATAACCCCTTGGCATCATCTTCCCGCTTTGTACCTCTGTTTGGTCTTAGTACATGGAATAAATAGCAGTGTTTGATTCTTTCTCCCCATTCTAACTGTCATCATTGTTATGACTAATTTCACTGCAGTGAGAAGAAGAGATATATCTACTTTTCTCCCACCTTAGCCTTTTTACTAGAAAGTCTAGCTGCTGACTTTTATCAGATAGATGTAACTTTCTCTTTTGCAACATTCCTACTATTATACTTACATAGCTAGACTCTGCCATATATCAATCTTGTTTGACACTTTTTAATTATTAGATAGTGATTATTAATTGTAGAACATTTTCATGATATTGAATCAACTGGTAGATTAGGATTCAGAAGTGGATTACTTTCAGACCCAAAACCAAGACCGACTCATGGTAATTCTTCCAAGATGAGTTATTTATTATTTCACACCTATAGGCAAAGTCTTGCCAAACCGATGACTTTACTATCTACATTTACAATATACTCTGTAAATTATTAGGGAGGAGCTTACTATGATATCTGAACTGAGTTGCCATTTACTCCTCTGGAATGTACCTCTTCCCTTCTGGGGATTCATCTTCTCGCTAAATTCCATCACATCTATTTATTAATAAGAAGCTGTCATTTATTGAGGCAGAAGTAATTCATCTTGTTAATTCTACTTCAAAATTTGATCTGGTCTTTGGATTAGGTAAACATGACTCTTAATGGAATTCTAGAGTACAGGAAGGGGGAATTCCTGTTCCATTATCTGTTATAGAATTGCTACAAAAGATTGTCATGGGCACTGATTAACAGTTTTTAAAGACATTCATGGATCTGTCTATAGATTACAGATGTGATCTTATAGTTAAATAAGTCTATAAAGTTATGTACTTTCTGATAGCCAGATGCTAGGAATAAGCAAAAAAACCCTATTTGCTTCTAGTTTGTAAGTTTTCCAAAGTATTTTGTTGGCTGCCCATGGAAGCAAGATGAAACTTTTAATCAAGCAAAGTAACATTTCTGTGCAATTATTTTGCATGATAGTGTTATATTAATTATATTCTAATTAAAGGGTTGTAGCAAAGTTTTGATTTGAGCTGTATGAGGCAATAATTGGATATTTCATCTTGAAAATCTTTCTATTTTGAATATGAAACACAACATGTTCACATATACCTAGTTTTGTACTTTTAATGGAAAGTAACATGAAGTTTCACAGAATGGTTGTTTTGTGCACTCAAACCTCTTTTTCTTTTTTCAGTAGTTCCTGTATTGAAATACTTGGTATTTTGCTATCTAGAAAAACATTCAGCTCAGGAAAAGCCTATTTCAGAATTATAATTAATAATCAATGTTTTTCAACAAGTCCAAATATTAACTTGCACTGGAAATACATTGCTAGTTATAACTCAATCGGTTAAAACATTTATCAATATATTTTGACTTATACACCTCTATGTCCTGTTTTTAACTTTTATCTAATTTCAGTTACATTATTCCAGTTAGCTTAATGTCCATAGTATTTAGGTTTCGGATAGCCCACAGTTCCCTTAGTTTATTACAAAATAGTTATGATATCTAAGATACACTTATTATTTACTCAGATAAATTCTTACTTTATTTCACAATCATATTCTATTTCTCATTCTAATATCATCACTTACTAATAAAATAACCTTTATCATCTCAATCCATCTTCTATAATATAATTCAAAACTATTACTCTAGTAACTAGTTTTTAGCTCCCTAATAAATCTAAATCCTAAATATTAAATCAGTTAATGTCTTTTAAAATCTCCTTAGCCCATTAAATGAGATTTTAGGCTCTTCCATTAAAAGTCACATAAAAAAATCCCATTTTTTAAGTCTGACTCTGGCTTTCCTTTTGTGCCAAACAGTTTTCCATAACAGTGTCTTTAAATCCTCAGGTGGATCTCCCTTCATTCCTACACATATCATTTGAATCAAAGGAGACCATCCAGTTATCAGTTTTTCAAGGAAGCTGGTCCCTTCATAGTCATTAGATTGTTGGCCTAATAATTTGAGTCTCCATGTTTGGCTTAGTATATTTGTCATCAGTTCAGACTGGTCTTTTTCCAGTTTCAGCTGATTTAAGTAAAAAGTCTTATTCAATGTTGTAGTTGTTATTTGGTTGTCTGAGTTATCTAAATTCTCAATGTGCTGTATATGTAGGTCTTTAGCACCTTCCGTCTTAGTGTTGCTTTCTTCAGTTTCTGTTACTGTTAGAATTGCAGATATTTTAGTTGAAATCAAGGTTTGGTTATCAGGGTTCTCAGTAGGTTGTGGCTGGTATTCTTTAAAGTCCACTTTAGTGTTAATTCCTTCTTCTGTTGCCTTTTTTTGTTGTAAGTTCATCAGTTGAAATCTGGGCTGTATTTTGTAGCTTTAAGGTGGCACCTTTATCTTTCAGTCTGGAATTCATTAGCTCAGTATCCTCTAGGATTTTTTCAGGTATAAGTTTGTAGTTAGGTTGTGGGTAGTATTCCTCCATTTCTGTGATATTTACAGATAGTCCTTTAATGGAGGCTATTTTTGATCAAAGTCAATAAATGTCCACCTCCACTGTAGAGAGTTGTTTTCACCACCCAGCTGTTTCAAGTTCTTATCTATTTTGATAGTGTCAAAAACAAATCTTAATCTCATAGGTCTCTCAGTCAGAAAAAAAATTCACTTGCTGTACCAAATTTCACCACAAGATGTCCCCGGTAACATGTAAAATCTTTTCCCAAACTCAAGTTAGGCTTTTATCCGTTTTTTTTTTTAAAAAGAAATATTCTTTTTTCCCTCTGCTTAACAGATAGGTAAGATGATAACTCTCTGTAGGAATAGAAACCTTTTGGGACCCCCAGATATCCAAAAATTACAAGTCCAATTATTTAGTCATTTAGTTTAGTCGTTCTTTTTTTGTTTTCCATAGTTTTATATTTCCAGAGTAGGCAGAAGCTGCCAAATTAAGAAGGGGGGGGGGGTAAAATAATTTCCAAAGGCTTTTACAGGAAAGTAGTTGGGAAGCAGGAAAGGTAAGGTACGGTCTCACCCAATTCCTCCACGTTGCTTTTGTTGTGCTTGGTAGTGCTTTGGCTTTTGGCTGGAATGGCTTAGTGATCGGCCATGTTAATGGCCGATCTTTTCTTCGTCGATCCAAAGGAGCTGCCCTTCCGCAATCTGTCGAGGGTCCTCCTCAGTGGTGGTCGCCCTTCCAGGGCGATTTTTGACCCTTTCTAGGGTCTTCTGACGAAAGGAAATCGGATGGAAGAGAGAATGCTGTCTTCGCATGTCCGCTGGCGGCACGATCGCAAATCGGAAGCCTGTATGCAATGTGCATTTGTGTGTTAGTACTGTATTGAAATTATGCATTGTATAGTGATTGATCAGGTTGTAGGCTGTATCTAAATAGTCTGATAGTGAAGCTTTTTGACTTTAGTATCCTTATCTTGTATTAGAAGTCAGAATTTTGTGACTAATCATAGATTGCATCCTATTAGATTAAAATATGTGCACAAGAGGGTAATTAACCCCATTGGAAAAGAATCTCATTAAAATTCCCAATTCTTTTTTTGTAACATTGAATTGGCAAAATTCCTGTTTTGTGGTATCACTGGAATTTCACTGAAAATAAAATTTACATCTTCATGTTATATGAACTGCAGGACTTGTTTTTTTAAATTAGATTAAAGGTATTATGGAGAATATAATTGAAATAATTTTGAAGTATGTTGTACATTTACTAATTAGTTTTGTAAGTCAATCTCACAGATTATTTTCTAGAATAACATTAGAAAGATAAAATGATGTATGTCAACTTCAGTTCCTGGAGAAAAAACAGAATCTAACTATAATCAATGAAGATACAACTTTCAGTGACCACATCTGACTAAATTATTATATTTCAAAATAAGAAAACTAGGGGAAATACTCTTCTTTGGGGTGTCCAGTTCTTTGAGTTTGATTTTCTTTACTCCATGATTGGATTCTGATCACAACCTCCATTTTCTCTTATTTAGATCTACATGCATCTTCGCTGCTACAGTTGCCCCAATGAGCAACGCTATATTGTCAGGATCCTTTTCATTGTTCCCATTTATGCTGTTGACTCATGGCTCAGTCTTCTTTTCTTCACCAATGACCAGTACTATGTTTACTTTGGGACAATACGGGATTGTTATGAAGGTAAGGTGCTTGTAAGCATGGAAAGTGGGGAAAAGGAAGGGATGGTAACCATATTAAAAATGATATGATGTTGTTTCTCTTACATTTGACTCTGTAAAAGTACATGCAGTTTCTGACCATGATAATAAGATATCCATAAGCTTTCCTGAGTGTATCACATATTGCCAATAAATTTCTGGGTTCCAGAGTTGAAGTTCTCTGAAGTAGCCGGTTGGAACAGTGGAAGAAAAGTCCTTCTTTACAGATGAAATTTATGGTATTCTATAGTAGAGAAAGAGATGTAAGTAGAAAAGGAAGCTGGATATAAACTGACAGATATTCTAGTTTCTCTGGTACAGGACAGAATCCCATTGTACATATTGTTGAAAGGTTTCTGGAGGCTGGCTGCAAATACCTCATGTTGCAAACATTACATGCCAAATTCCTGCTTGGATTTCAGGGTAAACTTTTTCAGCTAACCCACAGAAACTAGAAAGAGTTCTGTTGTCTCTGGGGTTCGGCTGCAAATACCCCATGCTACAAACAGTTTGTGCCAAAAATCTGCTTGGTTTTCAACATAGACCTTTTTCAACGAGAAATCAGAAGGAGTTCTCTCAGTAGGCGGTAGCAACTTGGGAGTTCCCTGCTAGCTTCCCCATTGACTTTCTGGGAAAGCCATCAGGTAAGATTTCAAATAATAATCACATGATTGTGGGGCATTTAGCAACCCATTGTAAGTGCAAATCGGTTGCCAAGTGTTTTGATCTTGAATGGTCTTTAAGTGAGGACTATCTGTTCTTATATGTAACATTCTTTTGAGTATTTAAGAATGCTATCATACTCCTTTAATCATCTTTTCTTGAGACTAAACATATCCAATTCTTTCCAGTTCTCTTTGTGGATCCTAGCTCTAATCCCCAATCATTCCTTCTGCCTTTCTGAAAATTTGTTCCAAAGACTCTGAATCCTTCTTAAAACTATGTGCCAAATTAGAGCAGAATAAAGGGGAACAATTCTTTCCTAATTTAGAAATATATTGATACAGTGTAAAAGTGATTTTTTTCCCCCTTCTTTGCAATCTTAGCACATTGCTGGCTTATATTCCAAGATCTTTTTCATAAGTACCATTATTAACAAGATAACCCAATCCTATATCTTTACATTTAATGTTTGGTTTCCTAAATGAAGAATTTTACAAAATTTCATACTTTTTAGGACATTTCTCCGACGAATGTGAATTATTTATTTATTAAATTTGAAGACCATCCATCTCACTCACAGAGCAACAATAACAGGGTTTTAGATATTCCCGTATCTGCAAATGTTATGAGCATTTTCTCCATTAACATTGTATTTACTTATTTGGTTTACATCCTGCCTTTTGGTCACCCTATGGCCAACACTGTAGTCAAAGGAGAAAGATTGCAATTATTTATATACGTTTTAAGGATTTATATACGTTTTTTTTTTCTAAGTTGGGCTAAAAAAAAAAAAACTGTTCTAGAAAACATTGAACCAGAGCATCAGCTAGTTTTTTTCAGTATTTCAGGAATCCAGTAAATCTGGAAATTTTAAGTAATTGAAAATAAATAAGCATTCCCTAACCGTGTTTGTATTAACTCAAACTTCAGGCCTGCCCTTTCTTTCTGTTGTAATATCATAGTGGATCATGTGTGATTTGTTTGTAGAAGATTGAATTAAATAGCAACCAACAACTCTATCTTTTCTTTGTTTCTTTAACCTTTTGCTGTCATCATTGAGCAACTAATATACTAATTCATTCTTGTTTTATTTTGAACATAACTACAAGTGTTCACCTTTTTTATATTCACTGCCTCCTTTGCTAAGCTGAGCTCATTATGAGCTTTCTCTTTCCAGCTCTACAATTCTAGGTTTCCTATCTTCCTTTATGACCAAAAAAATGTCATCCTCTTTTCAGTCCCTATTGTTTCTTGCTTTCAAGTCTGCCGTAAGCTTTTTGTACAGCGACTCCAGCTTCTTTATGTTCTCCTCTGTTATTCAAGTTATTTATAATTGTGCTTTTAATGCCTCTTTCTTTAGGAACTTCTACCCATTGTAGGACTCCTTTTCCCACCAGCTTCTCCTATCATAGATTCCTACTTATCATTTGTCTGAATTAAATAAAATTCACGTTTTGGAAGTCCATGATACATATTAGATGGCGGTCAGTTTTAGTTTCCCTTAAAGTCAAAATCTCCCTTGAATGTACTTAACTCAAGTGTCCTTAACTAGCTCTTCCTTAATGATTAATTTTAGACCAAGAATCCTGTTGGGCCTTTCTCTAAATTCTGGAGCAGAATATCACGTGAAATTATTATTTTTGTTTGGTTAAGTATTCCCATACCTATCCATTACTGTATGTATAAATACAAAGTCATAGGAAGAAGCCTGTTGTTCTGTAGATCTCGTCTCTTAGCAACAGCTATTATTCCCTTTGCTTCGCTTAGGGAGATTGCAAACATCATAACATCTGTTTGGAGGGTCAGTTTACATTCTAAAACTTGCCATTTTGTCCAGTTCAATATCCTGTGTGTTAATGGTGTTTTATTTCCCCTCCCTTTCTATATTTTCTGCTCATGAACTGTTCAGAACTATTACTAGAAAAAGCAAGAGCAGACGAGAAGAATCTATCTTCATTTCAAAGGAGATTTTTTTATTTTGCCATGGAAAGACTGCCCTTATACAAGTGTTAATGAACACATTTAGTACTTAATATTCATAATATTTACACAAACCAAATGTATTCTGTTCTTCATACCACCTTCCTCCCCATCACTTTTTTCTTTTTTTCTTAATTTGGTTAACCTGGTCTGATGATAGTGATTTGATGACAAATATTTTCTAGAATTTGTAAATAATAAGCATATTTGATAATAAAAATATTGCGGCCAAGCTACTTGCAGACATTTCCATGCAATCTTATATATATATTCTTGGAACTTAATTCCTTTCTGGATAAAATGGACATAACAATTGTTGTATCCTGTTGTAAACACCTTGTGATGGATTACTGCTTTTATATTGTTTGTTATTTATAAATAAATAAATACATTATTGTAAGTAATTTCTACTTTATAGGAGGATAAAGGAGATAGGCTCCTGGACAGCATGATTTCTTGATATCTGTAGATGAATTTTCTAGGTTGAGAGAAGGTTTGGGTCACAATTAGAAGACATTTACAATCTATTAAATCATACAGAATTCCCCAATAATGAATTGGCTGCTCAGAATAAACATTAGAATTATTTGGATTAGTATAACTTGAAACTTAGAAGAATATATCTTTATGGCAGTAACAGGCATTGAATGTTGAATTTTTAAAAAGTGCCTTGCTTTATTCTTCATTTATTGTACAACAATACAATAATTATATTAGGTGGGTTCTCTGAGCCAAATGTGCAGGCATACAAGCGTTAAATCTTTTATCGTCCCCAAGAAAATACTTTTCTCCTTGCTATTGCTAGTTTGAGGAAAGAATATTTCTTCTGCTATCTTAATAAAAATCACCTATATGCCTGCCCCTATAGTTCTATTATTAATTTTTTGAAGGAAAAAAAATGAGATGTTATCACTGCAGATATTGCAAGCATGACACATAAACCTCTTAAAGAATATTTTTAGACATAGATATAGAATCATAAGGCTGGAAGGCACCTTAAAGTTCTTCTAGTCCAATCCCCTGCAAGAGGCAGGAGACCTTATTAAGTGGTTGTCCAGTCTTTTCTTGAAGATCTCCAGGGATAGAACACCCACAACTCTGGATGAAAAGCTATTCATTAATTGTTCTTGCTGTCAGGGAATTTTTCCTTAGTTCCAGATTGGATCTTTCTTTAACCGTTGCTTCTTGTCCTGCCCTTAGATGTTTTGGAGAATAAGTTGACCTCCTCCTCCTTGTGACAGTCCCTCAAATACTGGAAGACAGCCATCATGTCACTCTTAATTCCTGTTTTCATTAGGCTAGACATACTTAGTTCTCTTTACTGTTCATCATATAGTTTAGCTTCTAGACTCTTTATCATCTTTGTTGCTCTTCTCTTCACTCTTTCTAGAGTCTCAGCACCTTTTTGTATTATGGCAAGTAGAACTGGATGCAGTATTCCAAGTGTGGCCTCACTAATGTAATATAGAGTGGTACTATCACTTCACATTATCTTGTTGCTATTCCTCTGTTAATGCAACCTAGGACTGTATTGGCTTTTTTGGCAGTTGCAGCATACTGCTGGCTCATACCTAAGTGATAGACAACTAGGACACCAAGATTCCTGTTTATGATGTCTCCCTTGGACAACTCCTCTGACTTTTCCTCAGAGGCTGGCTCAAGGGTGGAAGAGCTCATTCCTGGCATCTCAGGGACTGGGTTAATTAATGACCCTGAACGGTCAGCCGAAAGAGATTTATAGGAGATTTCATCTGAGGACAGCTTTCAGGGGTGAGTGGTCAGTGAAGAAGAGGAGGAGCTGCCTTCCATGGTAGATCCAAGAGCACATAGAGCAAAGAGGAGCAGCGGAGATCTGCCAGATTACTCAGGAGAAGACCCCTGGAAAGCTGGGGAAAGCTATTTATCAAGGCAGGCAGAGGGAGGCATTGCTGGGAACAACGTGTTTGGTTTATGGTTGTGTGTTCTTTGTGCTTCCAGCTTGACTTTGTGCCTTGGAGACTCTGAACTTCTCTTGCCAAGTGAGCTCTTGTGGGTGTATTTCAGTTCTGGTGGAGTTAAGTTTTGTTGGTGGACTTATTTGTTGGAGCAACATTCCATTTGTTTTGTGGACTATTGTCCATTGCTGGTGGATTAACCTTGGCCTGGATTTATTGGGGACAGTTCTGAGGCTGGGTGAAGGGAATTGCTGGGGAACAGTAATAAACTCTCCAAAACCACACTTTGTGCATTTGTGAGTGAGTGGGGCAGCACACTGTCACAGTTACTATGGTTAAGCCAGATGCCACCCATCCTATGCCTGTTCATTTGGTTTTTCCTACCTAAGTGCAGAACCTTGTTAGAGCCCAGTGCTCAAGATCCTTCTGAATCTTAAGTCTACTACTAAAATATTGGCAATTCCTCCCAGTTTGGTGTCATCTGCAAATTCGATGAGTTCCCCTTCTCTACCTTCATCCACATCATTTATAAAGATGTTCTTCAACACTTGGCCCAACACATTTATTTACTTGAGGTACTCCACTGCAGCAGTCCCTCCATGTAGACATAATTCCATTAACAACTACATGCTGAGAATGCTTGGTCAGCCAAGTGTGAATCCATTTGGTGATGGTATTATGTATCCCATATTATTCTATCTTACCAAGAAGTAGGCTGTGGTCTACTTTGTTGAATGCCTCACTGAAGTCTTAGTAAACTATACCTGCAGCATTTCCCTAATTTAGTCACTTTATCAAAGAAGTGTCTTTATCATGTCTGGCATGATCTGTTTTATCTGCAATTCAATATGCTATATGATAGTTGAAATATTTAGCAATAGTCTGTTGGCAAATAGTAAATTGCCCAAAAATACATTGGGAAAATTACCATCACTTAAATATTGGACAAATAAAATAGACTCCAAAACAGGAATGACTTTATCTTTGTTTTGGATTATTTGAGAAGGTATCGTGTTAAATTAGCATATGTTGTTAGAAGTTTATTATTTCGTAACAGTTTATTCAGTAAACTAAGTCTAAAGCAAATTATACTGTTGATAGCACTATGTGACATTTCAGATGCTGAAAGGCCTCATGTATGTATTCTTAATAATTTTAAAAATAGACATGCAAGCTGTTATAATGGGTAGGTGGTAGCATCTACTCCCTTTGGATGAGAAACAGATTTGAATTATATTATGAGTGGTGTGAAACTACTATTGTTCTATGTAAGCAGTAACTTGTACTGTTCTCTTTATAAGAACTTTTAAATGCATAGCAGAGGCTATGCATTCTGTGTTATTTAGAATGTGATAATTGGGCTAAAATACACTATTTTATCTTAAAGATAGATTTTTATTATTTTTATGAGCGAGATTACCCATGTAATAGCTGGTTAGTATTTGGATAAGAAACCTTGTTAAGTCACTTCTTCACTGAACTTACTAACAATTTCACAGACACTAGGGAGCACTATGATTCTAAAAATATGTTTAGATTGCACTGAAAAAGACATCTGAACATGTGACTTGTTAAATGCTGCAGTTTTTCTTTTGGCTATAGAGAACTTTCTAAAAGAACAAATCAATGCTCAGAATTCATAACTAATTTCAAAATGGATGGTTTGACAGTGTAACGTTGTATCATGAGTATAATGTATATCCTTGCTTGAATAGTTAAGTACCAGTTATCTAAAATTTTGATCTGGATTTCTTTTTAGAGAGATCACTGTCTGTAGAATCTGACTTGCTTGCTGAAGGTGCTTCAGTCGGAATAACTTTGAGATAAATTTTGTCTAATGGAAGAATTAGTTAATTGTTTTCTAATTTCATTTAAAGATCATTACATACATGGATGTATGTATTATGAAATGCTGTATTGGTTTCCTTACTGCTCTTTTCCCACCATTTCTGTTTACTCTGCTAGCTCTGGCAACAAGCAAATAATTTTTTCTTGAACAATTTATTTGCCGTAGCTGCCAATAATGGCTTTTCTGTTTTTAGCTGCATCCATCATATCTCTAAATCATTTTAATGGACCATTTAAAAAAGCACATCCCATTATTGAAACAGCAGATTTTAAAAAATCACAAGCCCATGCAAAAATCATCAAGGGCATTTTTCAAACACTCATTCTTACAGTGACCTCTTCTTACAATGACATTTTGCTTATACTGAGTAATATTTTACTAGCTTAATATGTGCTTTTCTTTCTTTCTTTCTTTCTTTCTTTCTTTCTTTCTTTCTTTCTTTCTTTCTTTCTTTCCTTCCTTCCTTCCTTCCTTCCTTCCTTCCTTCCTTCCTTCCTTCCTTCCTTCCTTCCTCCCTCTTCCCCCCCCTCTCTCTCTTTGCAGCTTTTGTCATCTATAACTTCCTTAGCCTCTGCTATGAATACCTAGGTGGAGAGAGTTCCATCATGTCTGAGATTAGAGGAAAGCCTATAGAGTGAGTATTTGGTATCTAAATATATACATATACATACTTTGTTTTACAACTGCAGAAGATTTGAAAGAGATGCTTTGTGCCATATGGATTATGAATGAAGCACTCACTTTGAATGGTTGAAGAATGTTTGTCTTTTGCAAGGCTTGTACAACTGAAAATTGTTCCAACTCTTGCAAAGGATGCAGTTGCTTCAATGATTTGAAGAGAGATACTTCATTTATATTTCCATGTTTTCTAAAGCACTTCTTTCAGATGCTTTGCAATATAATTATTCTATATTTGGTGGGAGAAAGACTAGACAGATATCAATTATAGCATTTGTTCTATCTCTTCTACAAGGAGCACTCTACAAGAAGATAGTGATTTATATTTATAATTGCAACTCTTGTGATATATAGAAAGTATAAAATATATAAGGAATCCAAAATGAAAAGAAACTAATAATAAAAACTAAAACTAAAAACTGATATTGAATAAGATTGGTTTACCATATCAATATTTGCATTCAGCTGGTTGATTAATTGAATTGAATTGTAATATTAGTAGCCTTTTTGTTCTTAACCCATCCAGAATTTAATTTTAAGCATTCAGTATCCAACACTATTTCTGTCTCTGTCTCTGTTTCTATTTCAAATTAACGTTGAAATTAACAGGTTCCACACAGAGAATTTGTGGAATTTGCAGTACTCCAGAGATACAAATAATATAGTGTAGCTCTGTTGAAATTAGTGAGAGTTCTCTCTTAGAGCAGTGAAAGGAGTATTGAATCTTCCAGATTTAATTTGACGTGAAAAGCATGGTGAAAGAAATGTTTGTGTGCCTGTTTTATTTGTTGCTTTGACAGATTTTACTTAAAAGAGGTACCATATTGTCATTCCCTTGTTATATGCATAACATATATTTATTTTATTAAACCAAATTCCACATAAAATTTTATTTTGTTCTAATTTGACATACTGCTCTGTTGCTTTTAGGTCCAGCTGCATGTATGGGACTTGTTGCTTATGGGGAAAGACATACTCGATTGGTTTTCTGAGATTTTGTAAACAGGTATGGATTGAAAATATCAGACTGAAAAACTGAGTACTATCACAGTGATTTTCTTTCCCCCTCCATGGCATATTTCAAAGGGGGATCTCTTGAGATTCTTTAAAATTTATCTCATTGCAAGAGGTTTGACGTCAGTGTTGATTAATATGAGTGGCTGTATCCAGGAAATTTTTTTCTTTTTCTCTCATAACATTTTAATTTCAAATCATACAAATAGTTATGGGAATTAGTCCTCCATTTGTGACAACTTTAAAAATTAGAACTAGGAAAAAACAAAATTATGTAGTTCCCATTTAAACCATTGTGGCAATGAAGTGCGAGTTACGGAACAGGAAATTATAAATTGAAATCTCACTAGCTCCACTGATGTGAGTTATCACTTCAGTTTTCAGCCAAGAGCTTTGCAATTGAAGAAACTTTTGGTATATAATTTTATTAAGAATTTTGATTATAATAATACAAACTAATACAAACTAAACTTAAAAGAAAGTAAAAAGTTCATGGAAAAAGAAAAAAGAAGAAAGGGAAAAGTAAGAATATAATAGAGAATTTTGGGACACCTAAAAATCAAACTAGGGCGGGGCTATTGTGTGGATCTGCCTCACAGGCCTTACCTTGCCGGCCCACTTCTTCTGCGGCATCTTCTGCAGCCAGGCCTGCATTTCTCAGTCACAGGCCTTTCCAGAAGGCCTGTGCAGCCAAGAACCGAGCTATGAATTCAATCCATAGCTCAGTTCTGCAAGACTTCTGCAGCCGAGGACCGAGCTATGGATTCAAGACATAGCTCGGTACTCGGTTGCATAGTCAATCCAGAAAGTCCTGACTGTAAAATGCAGGCCAGAATGCAGCTGCAGAAAGCTGCTCCTTTGGCCCCAGAAGAAGTGGACCGGCTGGGTGGGGCTGTTGGTGCCAGAAGTGAGTAAGACATCCCCAAAAAATAAGACCTGGTGCCCCACTACACATTTCCCTCCATGTAGATGCATTTCCATTGAAGACCACACGCTGAGTACAGCCGGTACGCTGAATACGACTGACTACAGCATATCTTATTTTATGTTCAGTAAACCAACATTCTATTCTTTCCTTTTGCTTTTAGCAGTCTTAATCTTTAGTTCATTCAAACTTTGCTGTAGGATTTGATTCCTTTTCATTTCTTATTTGTCCCATTGCACAGAACTTTTTAGTTTCTTTTGTAGATCCCGTGAAACATCCTTTTCTGAATCATTCTCTTTGCCTGTCAGTTATAAATCCAGTATTGATACCATCTCTTGTTTTATCAGATAAAATTTGTTTCACATCTGACATTTCTTCAATAATATTTTTGGACATAATCCATCCATAAAAGGGACATTAATACTGGCATTATTGATATTGTAGGTACTGTTTTCTGATTTCATTCTTCAAAAATCTCTTCAGTACTTTTATTGTCATAACCATTTTTCAAACCTATATATCTTTCCTCTACCTTAGACTCTTCTAGTGTTCTCTTTTTGAAATTATGAAATTGTTTATTTCTGCCTATATCTTATAAAAATCAAAGCAGGATCTATTTCCCACAAGGAGCAACTTGTATCTTATAATTATTTCCAAATCATATTGTAAATGTTTCAGTGTTCCAATTATATTTGGACTTTTGGTCTATTTAAAACTCTCTAAGATATAAATTTAGCTTTTTATCGTTTATTTCAAACTCTTTAATTTCTTAAGCTTATAATTAAAGTTTTGTTTCATTCAGGATTAAAGGTAGATTCATCTGGCATGTTCAAACTTATTCTGAAAGTCACTAATAACTTAGAAATAGTTAATGAGTGATTTTTAAAAGTGATTAGAAAGTGAGGTTTGCAATGTCTCTGTGCACTTGTAAGCAAGATGGCTAATCCCATCATCTCCAAGCCCATACAAAATCATCCTGAAATCTCTAGCGTGGGTAGCAACGGCCAAAGCATATGTGGTGACCTCCCATTCTCCTTATCTAGAGAGGTTCCAATGAAGAGGTCTACTTACCACTTCCTTGGTCCTTTCTACAATTGTTGGCTTCACTTTTGTAGAGACATCTTCAGTTTGCTCTACCTCCTCTGGAAGCTTCTAGCAATAGAAGAAGCTGACTTGCTATTTCACTGAAAAAATAAAGAGACTTGTGCAGGAACAATAAGTGAACTAAATATCAGGATGTTTGTTCTGAAGTAATGGTTTATTTTAACCAAATGATATTGACAGACATCCATTCCAAAATAATAATAATAATAATAACAACAACAACAACAACAATAATAATAATAATAATATAATGCCTGCAGTGCCTGGAGACAGCAGAATAGAAGAGAAAGAATTGGAGAAGAAATACAAAATACAAAGACCTACAAAGAGAAATAGAATGACTGTGGTGAAGGCAAGCAAGGGTAGTACCAATAGTAATAGATGCCTTTGGTGCAATCCCAAAACAACTGGAGTGCTACTTGGACACCATTGGCATTGACAAATTCACCATCACTCAATTGCAAAAGGCGGCCTTACTAGGAACAGCTTCCATCCTGCAACAATATCTGTAATACCATCAATTCAAACATCCACATCTGCCTATCCTAAATCCTTGGTAAGGACTCGATAGGTAGACAAAAATGCCAAATCCAGTCTGAACATCTGGCTGACTGTGCGATGATCAGTAGTAGTAGTAGTAGTAGTAGTAGTAGTAGTAGTAGTAGTAGTAGTAGTAGTAGTGTTGGAATGGACCTTTGAGGTCTTCTAATCCAACCCTCTGCTCAAGCAGAAGACCCTATGCCATTTCAAACAAATGGCTGTCCAATCTCTTCTTAAAACTTCCAGTGCTGGATCATTCACAGCTTCTGGAGGCAGGTTGTTCCACTGATTAATTGTTCTAACTGTCAGGAAATTTCTCCTTAGTTCTAGGTTGCTTCTCTCTTTGATCAGTTTCCATCCATTGCTTCTTGTCCTGCCTTCAGGTGCTTTGGAGAATAGCTCGACTCCCTCTTCTTGTGGCAACCCCTGAGATATTGGAACACTGCAGTGTTTCTATATACAATATAGAAACAATGTATGATTTAAGCATGCATAACTTTTAGTGCTGTAATTATTTTGAGTTCTCTCTTCTTCCACATCTAGCTACTCCTGACAAATTTCTGAAGAATTTAATAGTTTAAATAGTAATTTGTAAATATTAAAATGAATATGTTTAATGTTTATGTATGATGAGCAGTATGTGCTTAAGACAAATCATAACAAAAAGGTTGTGATCCTTTAATTTTTGTTTACAACTCAAAAGATTGGCATGAAGAAAAGTATGTACATTGCTTACATGGATAACAAAGGATTTCTTTAACAACGATGAAACAACAGGTTTGACTAGATTATCAAACCATTCATTTCTAGGAAGAAGGAGCTGCTGTGTGCTTGCTTCTGGCATTCTGTTTGCCTAGGGCAAAAATGGCATTCTTTGGTCTCAGAAAGTGATAGGTGATGAGATTCTGAAGAGCCACCATAGGCTTTGATTTGTCTCTTTCTCAGACATCTGCCTGATGACTGGGTAGTTGTGTAGGTCATTTGCTCCCACTTGTTCTTCCAGTATGTCTTAATACTTTTTTTCACGAGGAAGTGTTTAAAAATAAACACTTGTGGGATTGGGCTACAGGAAAATGATTAAACAGTCCCCAGACTGAAGAAGAAGAAGCTCAAATGTACAGTTTAACAATTAGCTTGACATTTTCCAGTTCACAAGTTGGTTATGACTCATTGTTTGGACTGGGTTTGGATTTTAATCTCTTTAAGTCTTATGATCGTCCCTCAAGAATGATCAAAAACAAACTTTTCCTTTTCTTTGACTTTCTTTTCTGTCTAAATGGGCAGCTTCTAGTGAGTATATTATAAAAAATATTTCTTTTGAAACTATCTTGTGGTTTCACTAGGGCCATTATATCTGGGCTGCAAAACATTGGGATGACACAAAATGGCGACAAATAAATAAACTTTTCTATATTTCTGAGATACTATCCAGAGGTTGTCTGGGTTTTGCAGCCTAGAAATGGTAGTCCTGCTCATCCTTGTATTGTTCTGTGATTGTTAGGCCTAGTTTACATTCAGCTGCATAAGATAGCATATTACATAGCTAAAACATTTCTAAGGTGTTGTTTAGGCAGTCACTTAGGCCACCATTCGCTAGTATTCTTCCCTGCCTTTCAAAAGTAAACAGAACCACTGGTTTATACTTCATAAGCAGTAGCAAACAAATTTAATAAATAAAGGGCTGGAACACCCTTGGCAATGATGATTATTAGCAGTTTAAAAATTAGAAATAATTTTAAAAATCTGTAACCAAAGAAGCTAGTATACAAGAAATCCAATAAAAACTATATAGTGCATGATCCTGCCTATTGCTAGGTTTATGCATCTGATAATAAATAGGACAGGAGTATGAAGTTATGTATGAATCTGGCAAGGTTTTTTTCTTGATCTATTTATGAATTTAGGCCACTGTTTTTTAAGTACTGTATTAATTGAATCTACATTTGTAAAAGAATGATTTCAGAGTCTAGGTTGCTGTGAAGTGTATATATTTTTACGTCTAATCAAGGCTTTTTTGAATTCAAGGAAGTTTTTTGTATACTTTATACACAAAATTTGACTTTGAATTGAACTCAGCTCCTAATAACTTACATGAATATATGATATAGAAATGGTTTCTGAGACATTTCTTGAACTGTCTAATAGCCTATAGTTCTGCTCCTCCAAGGTGGACCCTTTTCCACCTTGGGAATCAAATGTGGAGCAAAGTCTGATTGTCTTTTCTAGAACTCAAGTCAAATAAGTCATAAATTTATCTTAAGTACAGTTAATTAGTATTCAGTCCATATGCTCAAACAGAAGAATGAAAGAAAGTAGATGATCAGAGCTGGTTAAAGAACTCAGGTTGGTGTCATTGAGATGTGTTGAGACCTCAGCTTTCAGAATTCCCAATCCTGAAAAGATTAAGGAAGTCTACATCTGTATATTTTTTTCTTATCCTCCTTTTGTCTGCCTTTCTGTTTTTCTTTCCTCCAGGCCACACTGCAGTTCTGTGTGGTGAAGCCCCTCATGGCAATTATTACAGTTGTTCTTCAGGCATTTGGAAAGTACCAGGATGGAGACTTTGAGTAAGTAAATAGTTTGATTGTAAAGATATTCTTTGTTAAATAATGCAAACCTGACATGCGGAAACAAGTCAAGTCAAGTCTTTATTTCAGTCACTGACCAGCAAAGTAGAGCTTTGAATGGGAACTAGTTTTTGTAAAAATGAATGCTTGCCATAAGAACTGGGAGAACAAAAGAGGACTATATGCATAAAAGAGAATAGCATAATAATAATATTATTAGATGTAGAGGTGGAAGATCAGAGCCAAATAATTCTTCTGGCATTATATTTTAAATGATTGGAGACTGGATGGGCACAAGATAGGGAAAAAAACAGTATATTGGTTCTGTATATGGTAAAGCATACATATTTTCCCCCCTGTAATTAGTATTTCTTCAGATACTTCTAGGCCAGTGGTTCTCAACCTTTTTAATGCCGCGACCCCCCAATCGGTCGTAAGTCGAGGACTACTCAACCAGTTGTAAGTCAAGGACTACTCAACTGGTGCAGCACCGTTTGCAGAATGGGACTTTTGGCGGGCTCAGCAGGGCAGAGACAGCCTGGACAATTCCTATTGGCTTTTGAAAGCCAATAGAATTAGACTCTATTCAAGAGAGTCTATTCTATTGGCTTTCAAAAGCCAATAGAATACAAGGGAGTAGCATAGCTAAGGAAAAGGGGGAAAAAATGGCGGACTGCATTGTTTGGTGATCCCCGTGAAATGGTCAGACAGATGTCTAATTGATTACACCTTGACATTTTTTAACTGCTATACTGCAGTTTTACTTTTTACAATCTCTTAGTCTCCCAATTTAATTCTTTAATTCTTTGTCAGAAAAAGAAATTTGAGATATATATATATATATATATATATATATATATATATATATATATATATATATATATACATACATATACATATACATATACATATACATACATACACACACACACATATATATATATAGGCTTCCAAAAGAGGCACTAGGTCTATTTTCGGGGAATGTCTTACCCGCTTACCTCAGGACTGCTGCAGCCAGACCTCCCATGCCCCGGCACCTGTTGCACCGCTACCCGACTTGTTTTGCGGCCACTTGTGGCAGGACGCCGCATGGCACATTGTGCTGGTGCCCCTCACAGCGGGACACCATGTGGCGCCTTGCGTCAGTGCCACCACTTGCGGCAGGACACCACGTGGTATGTTGGGCCGTGGCACACATGAGCGGCAGCACCAGTGCAACGCACACGTGGTGTCCTGATACTAGAGGTGGCACTGATGTGACACACCACTTGGCCACCTGCCGTGAGTGGCAGCACCGGCACAATGCACCACATGACGTCCTGAGAGCAGCAGCAACAGGGCAATATGCCATGTGGCCTCTTACCATAAGCAGCCGCCAGTAACAAGAAGTGGGCCAGCAGCCATGCAGGTTCCTGCTGGACGGGGCTGCTGTAGCTGGTGCTACCGCCACAAGGCAAGGCAGGTGTCGGGGCATGGGAGTCTGGCTGTGGGGGCCCTAAGGTAAGCAGATGCGGGGCTTACTTCGCTTCACCCCACCTTGTACATCCAGATGGTGGGACGGAGTGGGCGGGATCTTAACTAGGGCTTATTTTGGGGATAGGGCTTATATTAAATACACATGTAAAAATCAAGCTAGGGTTTATTTTCGGGGTAGATCTTATTTTTGAGAAAACACTGTGTGTATGTATGTATTTGCAAATAAGTGCACTTATTTGCACTTATTTGCAAATAAGTGCCTTATATTAGAAGTCTCCAGACAGAATAAAAGAAAAGACAATAAGCCAGAATATAGATGGAGTTGATCTTAAATTCAAAACCTTAGATGAGTATCATATGATCTTCATTTGACTTCAGAACAAAAGAAGTGTTGGTAGCGACATAAATTCTGGAAAGGGAATTACATTACAGAAATAGAATGCCAAAGTCAGAAACTTCACACGTTGTACTGCACCCAGTGATGATATACAGAGCAAAACCACTTAGCAGAGTTTAAGTCAAATGCATATAGAATCTAGTACTATCTCAGATACCGAAGCCTCATAGCATTACAGATTTGAGCATTATCACCAACATCTTGATTTTGGGTTGGATGCCTATCAATATTATTACTTTAAAACCAATATAATGTAATTCCTAAATCATATTTCTTCCAATAACCTAGCTGTCCATTCTGTGATAACTCTGCAGACTTCTTGTTGTCTCCAGACACTGTCCCAGCATCTGCACAGTTCCACCTGATTTTGGCATCAGAGAGAAATAACAGTTAAGCATTATTAGCATCCTGATGTCATCCATATCCTAAGGCATGATGGAATCATCCAGTTCATAGAGATGTAACTAATGAGCAGGACAAAAAAGAGCCTTTTGGCATAACCTAGTAGCCATTGAATTGAATGTAGCTGCTGTAATACAATCTCTTGGAATATAATAGTTATATGCAGATTCAGTCATAAAGCCATTTCCCTAATTTTCATTTTCACTGTAAAACACCACTTACTCTGTTTAGGACAATTCAAAATATTTTTAATTGGACTTACTATAATATTATAGAAATAATTAATCTGTGTGTGCCTCTTTGCAATGCCCATTGTTTAGCGACTGGAGGATATACTTGGGTAAGAGAAAACCTATACTGTAAATTTCCTTAAGATAAACAATACTAAAAATATATGACATCTTTTTTTTTCTTTTTCAGTGTCACAAGTGGATATCTCTATGTAACAATTATTTACAATATTTCAGTCAGCTTGGCTTTATATGCCCTCTTCCTCTTCTATTTTGCCACCCGTGAACTTCTCAGTCCTTATAGTCCTGTCCTAAAATTTTTCATGGTCAAGTCTGTTATTTTCCTGTCCTTCTGGCAAGGTGAGGTATTAATGCACATGTTTACAACTCGCAAGCACAAATAATTGAGAATATTTAGTAGCTCATTATAATTGAATAATTTTACATTTGATTTTTTTTTCTGACGTCATTTTGTATGCATGTTGATTCCACTCTGGTGTAATAAGGCAATTCATTCAGTCAAGTGCCAGGCAGTTAGAGAATCAGATTATTTCCAATTGTCATAAATAGAAAGTGCTAAATAAACAAATCAATCCAGCAGTTTTTAGAATTATATACTTGAATTTATTCACTGTAGTTTATGCAATAAATCCCCCATTTGAATTTAGTATCCCTTCTGGATCAGTACACTATATATAATCAACCACTGGTTAGTATATCTGTGCTTTATGTTCAAATTAGCATAAAAACATAAGAAATGAAAACCTGGATTGGCTAGGGAAAACTTGACATGTCTTGTATAATATAAATAATTACTTTTCTGAGTCTGATTAGTCATCATTCCAACCTTTGGATGGTGTAAACAGGCATAAAAGCGTTTTTTAAACTTTTTAAAGATATACCATCAGCAGTGTCTTTTCTAAACAGATTCTGATATGAACTGAATTTTTTTTAGTTTACTGTTTTAGACCATCAGACATGGACTAAGGGAGGTTTATTTGCAGTGGTTCAGATCCTTAATGTTATCTGAAGTATAGAAGGCAGTTGGTTCTAGAGAACTGTAATTCAATAAAATAGGGCATGGATTCTGTCTTATTTCCTATGCTACATGAAATTACTGGAAGAGGTCATTTGGCTCTTTGGAATAGGATGCTATTCAGCTCAACTGCTCTCTATGTTCTAACTCCAAAGAAGAAATAATTATCTTTTAATACAGACTAAATTTCAATAATGAGCTGCATGTGGAAAAAAAAACTCTGATATTAAACCCAGAGAAAACAGAGGTGCTCTTGATAAGGAAAAAGTTGGCCTCTGGGATTGAAATTATCTCTGGATTGGGTTGAGAAAGAGTAAGTTTACAGTTTGGGAGTTCTTCATGACCCCCAACTATCACTGATTTTGCAACTGAAGTGAGGAGCATTTTTGCACAATTCTGGCTAATGTGTCAACTGCAACTTTCTTTTAGCTGATTGTATGCAGTGACTGTCCTAAGGAGCTGCATTTGGCTTCCATCATTTAGGAAGAAGTAAAAGTATACCTCCTTCACCAAACATTTAACAGTTAACTACTTTATTTTCATTTTCAGTGTTTACTAATAGCACTCAGAAGTTAAAAACAAAGTTCAACACTAAATATATTTTACGCTATTTTATATTGTTATATTCTATTTTGAGATCTGGAATAAACTGTATTAGAATAAAAACACAGAGACATTTAAATCATAGAGTCCAACTCCTTGCTCCATGCAGTAATCCAAATTAAATCATCTACATAAGGTAGTTATCCAGGGTTTTCTTGAGAACTTCAAATGAAGAATAGCTTTCTAGATAATTGGCTTCATTGTTAAAGTATTCTTACCTTTTGTTTTTCAGTGGGAATCTGTTTTTCTATACCTTAAAACCATTACTCCATGTCTTCAAGATGAAAGAAACGACATGGCCTTCCAAAAGAGAGAGACAGAGAGAGAAACAAAATAAGCAATTAAGCAAATTAAGCAAAAAGACTTAACAAAATGAATGGAAACATGAACCAAAATCAGTAATAATCTTAGTGAGAAATGTTTGTACTAATATATAAGCAATTAATAATAATCCACAGTAAAACAGGTAAAAATGAACATGTGAGGGAAGGAGTCTGAGAATATTTCTTTCATTTCAGGGATGCTATTGGCCATTTTGGAGAAGTGTGGTGCAATTCCTAAGATCCGCTCAGCCAATGTATCTGTGGGGACCGTAGCAGCTGGCTATCAGGATTTCATCATCTGTGTGGAAATGTTCTTTGCAGCTATTGCTCTGCGGCATGCATTCACTTATAGGGTCTATGCAGACAAGCACCTTGATGCGCAAGGTATGGAGGTCATTACTGAATCTGCAATAAAAAGCTGGCTTAATTCACTCTCTGAATACTTCATTTGAAAAGTAGAATGCATTTTCCTTTTGTCGTATTTGTACATAGATTAGTACCAGATTTGAGGGTTTTTTTTGTGTGTGAACATGGCTATATAGAGATGAAAGACAATTTTATATAGGTCACTGTCCTATGAACTGCACCAGCAATTTTCTAGATTTATAAGGACTCTTCTGCATAGATTATGAAATGAGCAAAAGGCAACTAAAAGGCATATCCCTGTTGAATTGTGCATCTGTGTAAAATAAGAGAAGTAGTTTTGGAATAACAGTCTTAAAATGAAGAGAGTAGAAATATTGAAGGCACAGGAAAGCCAAATGGTATTTTGACCACTAGAACTCACCTCCAAGGATGTGGATACAGTCAGCATTACAAGTCTTGTGTTCACTTTCTTTTTTAATATTAAAAGAGGGCTGAGTGCTTTTATTTCTATTGTGAAGGCTCCTTGGTACACTCTTTGCTTGGTTGTTTTCTTGCAACAGTTTAATTACCCAAACTAGGTAACATCATCAGTGCTAGTAGGGAGTGGGGTTTGCTCTCAGTTTACATTGTCCTGTCAGTGTTGATGGGAATGGTTTTGGTGGTTCTTTAATTGGTTTATTTGTTGTTAGTATGTTTGTCAGTGTCTTGATTGCAGTATTGTTTACTTCTTGATTGTTAGTCTGATATTAATCTTGGTGTCAAAGAACTAAACAGTACCCCTATCAAGGAACTGCCAAACAAACTAATACTAAACGGGCTAATCAAAGAATAACCAAGACCACTCCCACCAACGTTGACAGGGCAAGCCACTAGAACAGTGGTTCTCAATCTTTTTAATGCCGTGACCCCCCCAACCGGTTGTAAGTCGAGGACTACTCAACTTGTGCAGCACCGTTTGTAGAATGGGACTTTTGGTGGGCTCAGCAGGGCAGAGACAGCCTGGACAATTCCTATTGGCTTTTGAAAGCCAATAGAATTAGACTCTATTCAAGAGAGTCTATTCTATTGGCTTTCAAAAGCCAATAGAATAAAAGGGAGTAGCACAGCTAAGGAAAAGGGGAAAAAAATGGCGGACTGCGTTGTTTGGCGACCCCCGTGAAATGGTCATTCGACCCCAAATGGGGTCCCGACCCACAGGTTGAGAACCACTGCACTAGAATATAAATTGACAACAAACCCCATTCCTTACTAGCACTGATGATGTTACTTAGTTTGGGTAATGAAGCATCTGCAAGAAAACAATCAAGCTCAAGAGAGCACCAAGGACCTCCCTCATTTCAACCTCGAACTACAAATATTCTCTTTTATTGGTATTTCTATTGTGCTGTTCAGAACTGATTGTATAGGGGTTTTTTTCTGTATTGCTTGAGTAAGAGTTTTGGGTCAAGATCATTGGTGAAATTGGATGGCGGGTGAGAGTAAAGAATTCAGCTTGCTATACTGCCTGAGAATTGCTTGCCATTTCAGACTGTTGTTTCCCATATCTTCCTCTTTTTTTTCTCCTCCTTTTCTCTTTCCCTTGCTTTGGGCTCTGGTATCTGGCGCAGCTGTTCCATCATATGGTCCATATGGTAGGTGCCAAGCTCTTTCTGCACTTGTTTGTTTCTTCGTTGTTGAGACACTTTAGCTTCCTGCACTATTTCTCCTAAATCATATGTTAGAAACAGCAAATATTTTCACTTTGGGGAAATCATCAATAAAGTGGGAGGCCTCATTAAATATATTTCCTGAACACTACAAAAATTCTGCCTAATAGGAACAGCTGTAATGAAAACTTTAAAAAACCTACAGCTGCAGTTCAGTGTCTCTAATGGGTTTGTACACAATATGACTCACTGCCTTCAGTAACGAAGTATTAATATATAAAACAATATGAAACTCTGTTGCTTTTGCTGCAGTAGATTACAGGTAGTCCTCACTTACTAACTGCCTCATTTAGTGACCATTAAATTTATGCTGGTATAAAACAAAACAGCTTTGCAATCAATTTATGATCATCATAGCATCCTGCAGTCACTTGATTGCCATTTGTGTACTTCCCACGGATTAAGGGAGAACATTGAAGTAAAATCATTAAGTTGTCATTTGCTGTTTCACTTACAAATAGACTTGCTGGTCTCAATTATGAGTGCTAAGCAAGGACCACCTGTAATATGCCCACACCTCTGGAAATTATCTATACTATAGGTTATAACTGCTTTTGTTTCTTTAATTGATAAAGTGTACTGTCCAAAATAATCTGATGATCTTTTTATTTTAATATTTTAGTTCAATCATAATAGACATATTGTGAATAAAAGTAGCAAAGGTACTATTATTTTTTTCTGTAACTGTATGGGATCTACACTAGCGGTCCCTAACCTTTTTGGGCACTAGCAACTGGCTCCATGGAAAGAGATTTTTCCATGGACCGGGGGGGACATGGTTTTGCACCATGCCCACCTCCCGCACGTCCGCAGGTGGGGCCTTTGCTGGTTTGCGTGGCCTGGTTTCCAATGCGCTGCAGACCAGTGCTGGTGCACCGCCTTGGGGTTGGGGACCCCTGAACTACACCATTGGTAGGCAAATACAGATTTTCTAATTTCTGATTCACAATTTACAGATTCCTTTTTTTTTTTAAACAGGAGCAACAGCAAAATGACCCACTGACTTCAAGTTATATGCTAAATAAATAAAGTTTTACAGTTGTATATTTTTATTTAAGAAAATTGACTCTGGTCAGCTTACAAAGATAAGATTTAGAGTTGGAGTTGATATTTTTATGAAAGAACTGAAAAGAACAAAATATACTTAAAATACATTCATTCCTAATTTGAGGTAGTATCCAAATTTCTTTACTTGTCAAAATTAATTCCTGGCTAATTCATGCCCTTGTTAATATATGGGCACCAGGAAAACTTGTTGTAGGTAGCTTTTGACCAGGTTTATGGGATAACTGGAGAAACGCTTCCATTTTTCATATACTGTGTTTCTTTCTAGGACGGTGCGCCCCAATGAAGAGCATCTCTAGCAGCCTTAAGGAGACCATGAACCCCCATGACATTGTCCAGGATGCTATCCATAATTTCTCCCCAGCCTACCAGCAATATACACAGCAGTCCACCCTGGAACATGGACCACCATGGCGGAATGGCAGTCACATAATTTCACGTTCTCATAGCATCTCTGGTGTCCGTGACAATGAGAAGACCCTGCTTTTGAGCTCGGATGATGAGTTTTAAGGGGTTGGTGGATCATGCCATAGCCTGGAACTTTCCTTTATTTATTGATTCAGAAAACAGGTTATATTTCTTTTTTACATGGTGCTCAGGTCAGGATTGGGCACCTTCTGAGGCCAATTGTAAGCAAGGACCGTTATGGCTAATGCGGGTGGTATGGACTTCCTTTTTTAAAAGCTTAACTAGTGCGCATTTCACTTAATAAAGAAAAAAATTAAACACTAAATTGTAGCCTAGAACGGAGGTATAAGATGAGTAAAACATACTTTGTTTTCATAGTTTTTATGTGATTTGTAAGGCAAAGGGCTGGTAATACAAAAATCAGACAAATGATTCCCGAGAAATGAGGCTATATCTGTTAAATTATTTGAAATGAAACTAGCAGAAAATTTCCTTTTTGCAATCTATTATCATTCTGATTATTTGAGGATAGAATCTCATCCTTAGCTATTCCCCTGTTAATTTGTTCTATTAAGTTTTTAATAGTGGCCAGGATTTATTTTAATTAATATTCCATAATATATGTGCAATTAGCCTTTGCAAAGGATCCAAAATTTGAATGGGAGAAGACAAGAAACTCTGGATTGAAACAATCCATCGTATCTTTTTCCTGATGTAGAAGTGAAATATAGCACTTGTGGGTATTTTTTGTTGCCCAGTATTTCAAGAGAATGTGCAAGATATTTTCTGCAAAACAAGATTTCTCCCATTTGTAGAGAAAGACATCTCTGTAAGAACCTAATGATCCAGAATTTCAAGGAAAGCTGTCCAGGATACAAATGTATCTATCCGGATGCATATTCCCTAAAAAGTTGCTCAATAAATAGAAGCATGGATCCCATATACATGTTTCATTATGGGTGAGGGTCATGTTGAATTATTTTTCTTCAGACCTCATCTGATCTTCCTACATACCAGATGCAAATGTGCAAGCCTGCTTCCCTCCATTGATTTAATTAGTTATTGTATGCACTGTTAGAATCCTTCGTCATTTGCCCCTTTGTCATTCGTGTTTTTTTCTGCAGGAGCAATTGTACAAGCAGCGATACAGAAATCTCCTTTGCCTTGTCTGTTTTTGAACTGTGCATCTCCTGGATTTTAAATTCTATAATACATTTATGGCAAAGTTACCATTTGTCCTTTCTGCTGTAAATATTTTACCTATGTTAATAATTAATTTAAGTGCAGTGGAATGGAATTTGCCTAAGATGGAGAACATTCCATCTTCCCTTCCCTTAGTTCTGTTCCATTCTGGCCAAGAGATTTAAACATATCTATGTGGTGTGTAGGTATTATCTTTGCCATTATTTTCTACAACCCATAAGATTAAAACAGGTTGGTCTCATTAGGCATGTTGTATCTTTTATCTAAGAATCACAGGCTTCCTTTGCAAGCAGTAAAATCTGCTGCCACTGGTTTTGCCAGACACATTTTAAAGTTGAGAAGCGCAATCAGATTAATTGCAATATATTGCACGTCTTTGTTGCTGTTGTGGTTGTGGTAACTGTGCCTGTTTAACACATTGCTGCATAAAAGGGGGATAACATTAGGCCCCTCCTGAGTCTCCTGCATGCTGGTTCTGTTCTAAGCTACTGTGGTGGTTATTTGGCACTTTTTCTTATGGTGCTTTTTAACCCCTTCACTGGAGAGTCTAAATATGAGGATCTCAGGGGGGTTGACTCTATTGCTCCTTTTCTCTGTGCCTTAATATTCTCACCTGAGACATACACACACCACATTATAACAAAGACAGATTTCTACAGCAATTATTAGTATTCTTTAGCCAAGCTGTACTTATTTGGGCAAGCATCCTTTGTCCAAATTGTATTTGTTTGGGCAAAATGTGTTTGTGTGGAGCTTGGGAAGTTTGCTGAAATTTGTTTTATTTTTCCTGGAGAGATAGTGAGGCTATGGCTGCTGTTATTATGATTTGCACTTCCCTTTTTCCAGAAGACATTGGAGAGAATTTGGATAATAGAGGACAAAAGCTCCATTCACATTTTCTGCTTGAAATAGCTAGATAACTTGGGATATGAAGAAATGAAGACAGAACAAGAACACATTTCTGTAAACACACAATCATCAGCCTTGCTTCATATGACTTTTACAATATATTCATATGCACTAACTTTTAAAATCCTTTTAACCAATTAAAATAACAGACCAGTGGCAGCAGAACTATGATTCTAAGTTCTTTGCAACTCTTAGTAAAGGATGGTTGAACACTGTTCTTGCATAAATTATGGAGTTCAGCTCCCTGCAACTGGGGAGTAAGGTCAGTTCAATTATCTTTTAGTGCCAGCAGTAGGAAATTTTTATTGAATAAGATGACATAGGATGTCAATATTTCAAAGAGACATTGAAATTAGCATTTTTCTGCTAGCTATTAAAGAAGCTGGACCTTTTTCCAGCGTTTAGCTTGTGTAGGAGCCAGGAAAAGTGCTGCTGTTGCTTTAAGGAATACACTCACTGAAGTTAAGGTGACTTTTACAAAGTAGCAACATCGTTTTTTCAGGCCTCATGCACTTCCAAATAATGTTTGAAGCATGCAGAGTCTTTCTATTTATTTCAGTGCTACTTTGCTTCCAAATAATTTTCCTAACTCAGTATACCTTGCTAATACTTGCACGTGTGAAAAGTTTTCACACGTGCACAGTCTTTCTATTTATTTCAGTGCTACTTTGCTTCCAAATAATTTTCCTAACTCAGTATACCTTGCTAATACTTGCACGTGTGAAAAGTTTTCAGCATTAGCCTCCTTTTTTAATAGAATGGGTGAATAATGTGACTGACTTGCAGATATTTCAGTGTTGGGGAGAGCTCTATTTTTTATTTGTATTAATGTATACCATATATATGTATACTATGTGTACAGACTGATTACATTGAAGCAACTTATAAGAAGTTTTAAATAGTTTAAGCAAGTACCCTGGGTCCAATAATAGTGTGACTGTTTAAAAAGTAGAGCCATATGAAAGCACCAGTGCTGTGTGATGGGAAGAGTTTATTGTATATCCATCCATACAGGAAAGAGATGAAAGGGCTTGCTCAATGATTGCCCATTCCAGTTAGGGTTCCTGGGAGACTGACCATTTAATACACGTGATTATACATGAGTCCCATCAAAATAATATTGGCGCTGCCTGCTTCCTGTTCAGTTTCTTTCCTCTCTCTCTCTCCTTGTTTTTTTTTTTTTTTTTTTGCCATGTAGCATAACTGCAAGTTCTGTTTTTACTATTTTTCCATATAGTTCAGTTATTTGTATATAAATGGGGGGGGGGAACTGTATAATGAGACAGAGTTACCTAGTTTTGTACCTACCATGTAATAACTGATGTGAGTTCAGAGACAAGCTGTTGTCTCTATTTTGTTATTTGATGTTATACTGCTTTGGGGAAACATGCAAATATGACAAATAAAGATATAGAGATAATATAGATTGTATTTAATGTGTTTCTGCTGTTTTTGTTCATTTCCTTTCACATTTTTTTCTGGAATTACTTTTTAAAAGGTATCGATTTTTATTTTATTCTACACCTTGCAAAGGTTGCAAAGAATTATTTTAAGACAAAGGGTTACATGGCACAAGGGAAAGACTGTTGAAAAAGGCAGGTACCTCCAGCCAGTGAAATTTTCCACTTGACATAGAAGTACTTGACACAGCATTATTCTAACATAATTGATTCAATGTGAAGGGGATTCAAAATCCAGTAAAGATCATTTTCTATGCCTGAAATAATACTTGGTTCAAATTTGGGGAATTCCCTTGCAAATGTCTTCTGTTGGAACTAAAATATTGACATAAGAAATACAATCATTCTTTTCAGTTAATTGCTCATTAACAGCAAAAAGCTAAGCAGAGAGATTTGAATTAGAGGCTCAGAACAGGAAAGGGCACTAAAGGAGTAACCTGGTAACCTCTCATAGCTTGGTTGTGTAACTTTACTGATCCCAAGAATCTTATTTCCTGCTTCCTTGCCCTCCCACACATAGACATTTTGTTTATCTAGGTCAGAAGGCAGATAAACAACATCTTTTTCTAGAACTAACAGTGGCAATCTAGTGATGGGCATGGTTACATATTGGCTAATTAGTCAAATGGATAAGACTTGGTTCAAATGATAAATGTTTTGATCTGGAAGGTGCTGATTTGCCAGCTATTTTGTCAGAGCAGGGGTATCAATTTTAACCTTTGCGTGTCTCCATTTGAATTACAGTTTTGTATGCTTGGACTTGTTTCATGTCTAAGTCATGAAAGTATTCAATAAGCCTTATAAACATGAGGAAGTGTACCTGTTCAATCCTGTCATGTCCAACATGAAAAGAGTGAGGAAGAAAGAAATTCCTAGTGCAGTGGTTCTCAACCTTCCTAATGCCGCGACCCTTTAATACAGTTCCTCATGTTGTGGTGACCCTCAACAAGGCATGGTACACTGGAGGAACCTCACTGTTCCTCTCAGGCCATGCGGGGGGGGGGGGGCTTATGGAGCTAAGACTGAATGCGTTTCAGCATAGATGGCCACCACAAAATTGTACATTGGCTCCTGGCTGGCCTGGGCCAGGGCCAAGGCAGAGGGGGCCATTCCCTCACTTTCCAGGATGGCTTCGCGGGCCACGTAAAACCACTTCGTGGGCCGCATCCGGCCCCCGGGCCTTGTGTTTGACATGTCTGTCCTACACTCTTTTGTTACCTGCCTCCCATTTCAACTTCTCTCCAAACTTTCCAAAAGGAGAGCTCTCCTCAACTATGGGGTTTAGAAGTGAGCCTCACACAAATTCGTGGGCTTGCCCACAAAAGAATCTGCATATACGACCGCCCCACACGGCCTAACTTCTTTCCCATCAGTAGCATGAAGCACCGTCCTAATCTTAGTTATTCCGGTCCTCCAGCTCGAAGTCACAGGAAAATGGGGAGCCACTCCCACCCCGAAATGAGCCCTCCCCTTCTCTCCCAACCCCCATCACTCACATGGTCTCCAGGCCAGAGGTTCTCCCAAGCACGGAGGCGCAAAACAGCTTTTTCAGGGAAGGGAGGAAAAAGGTGCACATGCGTAGAAGGTGAGACTGTTGCCGGCACTGGGCAAAAGGCTCTCTTCTTTTAGACTCGAAGTTGGAGTAGGGAGCTGCGAGCCAATCCAAGGAGGCGAAAGAGATCTTTATTTAGGAAAGGGGAACAGAGCTAGAGCTGAGTGTGTCTCAGTTCCTAAGACCATTGGAAATATGTGTTTTCTCCAGTACAGGAGATGGATAATCCATGGATGGGTTTTCTCTGTCTGCCTGCTCTTGAGACCAAGTAGCCAAAGCTTGACACGCCCCCACTTCCTGTGGAGCCCATTCTTAACTTGGTCTCTGTTCGGAGAAGACTCGTTTTGGCGTGGCTCTCAGCTTATCAGGTTAGACAAGAAATCCATTGATTGATTATCCCTTGATAATTGGCTTCCCCTTCCCAAAAAAATTTTCCACCTATAGGAATTTAACCACAAAATTTTCTGGGGATCAGTCCTGATCTCAAACCTAAAATTAAAAAGGGGATTGGTGGGGAGGGAAATTTCCCCACAGATATCAGCCAGCCCCAGGGCTCTGGGGGGTGAAAAGGGGGGGAAGAAGGCATCAGCAGAGACTACTTGCTGAACCTTTTCCCCAACCACTAAGTTTTCCTTGGGATCATCCCTGATCCTATATTAAAATTGAAAAAGGGGGTGTGGGGGGGGGAAACTCCCCACGGATCCCAGTCAGCCCCAGGGCTCTGGAGGTGAAAAAGGGGGGGGGGGAACAAAGGCATCAGCAGAGACCACTTGCTGAGCTTTTCTCCCCAACCTTCCAAGGGATTTTTTCCTCAAATTGGGGGAAAAAATAACAATCTCCAGGTCCGGATTCAAACTTGAATTCGGATCATCGGAGATTCCCTAGCAGCCCAGGGCAACCGCGGGCGCCATTTTAGTTGCCGTTTTCAGACAACAAAGGCAATCCCTGGCTGGGATTCCCTTAAAACGTCACAGCGCGCCAAATTTAAATCCCCGGGCACAAGCAGCTTCTGGGAGGCTGCGGAGCTTATCTTCAGAGGGAAACGAAGCACAGGAAGGGAGTAAGCCCCAACCAAGAAACGGAGGCTAGAGAACCCTCCTGGGATCTGCAAAGCCCTTTTTCAGGGAGAAACGAGCTGTGGCTGCCATCTCTTGCAGAGAAAGGCAAACCGAGCTTAAGGAAGCTCTACATCATATCTGGAATCACTGATAGAGGCGGAATAGGAGCACACAACCAGCGCTCCACCCCCGATACACACATATAATAATAGGACAAAATATAATAATAATAAAAATAGATACATAAATTTTAAAAATAATAATAATAATAATTAAAAAAAAAATTTTTTTTAAAGCTAAAAATTAAGCGACTGCAGGGCCAACAGGCCTAAAGACAGAACACACAATATTATCATCATCACCATTATTGTTGTTGTTGTTATTATTATTTTACTATTATTGTTGTTCCTATTATTAGTATAATAGTAATAGTATTAATAAGAATAAATTCCGCTCTAGGTGACCGCCATTTGATACCTGCTGTGTATTAAGTCAGGCCTACAGACCCTTTTGAGGTCGCCACTGATATTTTTTGCCTCCCTTTTCCTTTTTCTACTGGTGCACGTTGCCTGGTCACCTAAGGCCTCCGGGCGGAACCCAAAGAGTGGTTCCAAACGTGCCTTCGGTACCTCCCTCAGCTACCGTGACCTTAGCCCAGAGAGAATATTTTTGTTGTGGTCGGGTGATCAGGGGAACAGTCCTGGTACTTGTTCCAATTTCGCTCCCGCCAATACTTGCCTGCCTGAGCGTCTTCTCAGTTTTTCTGGGACTGCTCAAGCGGAATGGAGGGACCCTCGTTGCCTCAATCCATGAGCACGACCCCTCCACCTCCCAATTACGGCTGCAACACACCTTCTGACCAGAAGGCGGCAGGCAAGTGCAAAGCGAAGACAAAACACTCGCTCAAGAGGCCCTCCAAGTTGGCGGAAAAGCAAGCCAGCCGTAGGCACCAGGCCCTGGAGAAGGAGTTCTCCAGAGCGCAGAGGCAGGCCCAATTGGAATTGATTCAAATAGCGGCCACCGAGATGGAATTACCATTGGGTCCATCCACATCAACCCAGAGCGCGTGGTCCATTCCAGGAACACCGCAACCACTGGATCCGCCATCTACATCAGCCCAACAAACAACCACGGCGGCAGGCACAACCACTGAGTCCAACTCTCCACCTGCGGTCACCACACCCAAAGGTAATGACATAGGGGACATCTGGGCAGATGGACGGCTAGAGGCCCTATTAACCAAAGTGGTGGACCGAGCCCTAGCACAGCGCTCCGCCCACCACGACCAGGGGCCCTCCATCTCAGCCATGCCACACTCGGAACTCCCCTCAGAGTCCTCAGGCATTCAGGAACCCGTCTCCCCGGCCCAGTCCTCCATGAGTGGTTATTCTTCACCACAAGAGGAGGATCAACCTGGGATCTCTATGTCAGAGGATGAGGAACTTCCCCCTGAGCCCCCCTCAGGGGGATTATTTAATCCCAACCGCTTCCTCACGATACTACGCAAGGCCACAGCCATTGCGGACATGGGGACGGATCAGTTTTCTCAGCCGCAAGCGACACCGGCCACCACATCCAGACCCGTATTCGTAGAAAAGGTGACAACGCAACACCATATACCTTGCCCCGCCATTTTCCTGAAAGGGATCAAGAAGCCATGGGACTCTCCCGCTTCCTTCCCATCAGTGAGTGGTACGGACAAAAAATTATACAGCACTGCCACAGACCTCAATGAGGCCTTAGAAATTCCTAAAGTAGATGAAGCCTGGACCCCCTTGGTCTCCCAGACAGCCATGGCTGGGGACCTAGTGGAGGCCCTTAAGGCAGATGACAAAAAGTGGGAACAAGCCTTTCGCAAAACCCACCAGACAGCGGCATGGGCCATCAAAGCAGCCACCTCGGCCTCCTTTTTTGTCCGGGCCACCCTCATCTGGTTGCAACAACTACAAACCATAGTTCCTATGGAGGACATACGAACACACCAGGACCTGGCTAAGATGGTAGCAGCCACGGAATACGCTGCAGACGCAACGTTCCAATCGGCCATTTTTTCATCCAGATCCATAGCATCCAACATAATTGCCAGGAGAATGCTATGGCTAAAACACTGGCAAGCTGACACCAAGGCTAAGTGGCGGCTAGCGACCGCCCCTTACTCAAGCAACGGTCTGTTTGGGGAGGCCTTGGACCCCTATCTTGTAGAGAACAAAGACAAGCGGAAGGTCATGGCACACTTGAACAAAAGGTCAGACAAACGTACCACACCTTACTTTCGTAGGCAGTCCTTTCGTCAACCGACAACCACGCCTATCAGTCAGGCACCCAAGCCATTCACTCCCAGGCAGAACAAACCGTACGGCC